AGTGTAACTGGACTATGGCTTTTCTCGTTTCATGTTAAAGACAGGGTGGCGAAAAGCCACATTGCGATTAAGACGCTCTACCCTATAATAAATAGGAGGAGCAGAGTCACCCTGTCAAACAAACTATTAATTTTCAAATCAATCCTAAGACCAATCCTAACATATGGATGTCCGGTATTCTGCTCCATGGCAAACACGCACTTTTCGAAATTACAAGTAGCCCAAAACAGATGTCTTCGGCTAGCTCTGGGATACGACCGTTACGCCAGAATAGCCGACATGCACAGACAGACGGAGACTCCACTCATAAGAGACTACATACTAGATGCAGCTGAAAAATTCTACAGGCGATGCCTTCCTGATAATGTGAGAGATGATACCTTAAGCATATATCGGGGGGACAACGTGCGTAGAAAACACGGCTGCATCCACACAAAACTCGACATCTATCAACGCAGACAACAACATCCTCCTTAACGCTCCCAGACATACTAAATAATTATCTCACACCGACTAGATATTTACACAAACTAGTCGGACGGAGGACTGATCGGTGGATCGGCCATCGGGACAACAAACGCGAAAGACTAACTAACATGACACACATTCACACAAGGACAACCGTGGTTTTTCGAAGTTTTTCCCAGGGATCACTCGACACAATTAAATTCATACAAAAACTCACACTTCACTTCAATTACCGACCTCAAACTTGCCAATATTGCCATATTATATCTCGGATAAGGAGATAGCATAACCCTTTCAAAATATATAAATTGGAACAGGTATTATGGGTTAGGACGTTAACTCCGTCTGATACTAACCAGCATGGGAGGATTACTCAACTCGCAGGACTGCGAGTTTGAATTTTATCTTTACGTGTGTTTACCTTACCGATGACATGTAAATATTTTATTTTAATAGATTTTAAATTGAAATTGACAAATGCGAAATTTACATTCGCGAGTGCTGCTTCGATGGAAGGTGCAAAGACCACTTGCCTGTGGGATAGAGTAAATAACTATAGACTATACAAACGTACACACAAGGACAACCCCGTTTTTTCTAGCTTTTTCAGGGGACAAAAACTAGAACTAAAACACGACATATCCTTACCTATTTCCCATTACCGATTCCAAAATAAACCCCAATTCCTCAATAATACCGTAACGGTAAGGAGTGAGGGCTGTAAATATTACAAACTAGAAACAAAAATAGTTGTTATTGGCGGACTTGTCTTCCATGGTCTCCTGGACCCGCACGAAAAGAGAAATCTCGGTAGTGTTGTTTCATATTAATTATTTTTGACATGTAGATAATACGAATATGTTAATAAATTGATGTTATACTGTTATACTGTTATACTGTTGAATATATAATAAAATTGTATACGCCAGTGTGGTTTCACATCAAGTGCAATCCTTCATGTTATAAGGGTGCAGAACATCTGTGACGTGCTAATAATTTATCCCGATATCTATGCAGTAAATTAAAAGCTGTAGTTAATCCGGTTGACCAAAGAAATAGTTTTTTCAGACACCCGGAAAATATACTACTAACAATGTTGTCTGATGAGAGGCCTCATGTAAGAGAGCTTGGAATTCGACACATTATGAAAGCAAGGAGTCATCCAACCATCCAGTTATCCAATCGTCCAATTAGACTATTTACAATCCTTTCTTTTAATATTGAAGCTGCTGATTATATCGATTTGATATACTAGCAGGAAGTCCAGAATGCCGAACTTCCAATTACAAAAGTTACCTCAGATGATAGCTTGAAAAACTTATTAGATACCACCCAGGCCATTGAGCGGTGCGTTAACCCTTTCAGCCCCATTTTTTTATTTTCAATATTACAAGATTTAAAACAAAAAAAATGATTAATATGTTTTAGAAATATATTTTCCAGAATACGTATAGTTTAAAAAATATTGATTTTTGACCTTGACAAGTGGGACGTATATGCCCCACTGGTAATATTAAATGAGACATATACGTATATAAAAAACTAGAAACAGTTTTTGAAATGTTTATTTTCAGGTATGGTACGGTGTAAAACAATTTTTGCACAGGGGCAATTGGCACATCGTGCGCATAAGGTCGATGTTCTGTTTTCTATTTTTGTTGAGAACACCTTGCACAACGTCGGCAAGTTTTACGTTCAACTGGTAGATGTTCCCCAATATTTAGTATATGTCTTGATTTTTTTGATGGTCTACCAATGGATCTTTCTTGAACGTGTACTTTTGATTTTTCTTTACCAAAAGCAATTATCTCTTCGACAAGTTGGATTACAAAATCCAGAAATGGTAATTTTTGTCTGTGAAATTCATTATATATTATCCAGCTATTGACTTCGGCACCTATTAGTAACCTAAAAAAAAACTTATTTTAACCATTTACCGGACTTGCGGTTCATGTCATATAAACCTGACATTTGGTCAGTTAAATCCACTCCACCCATGAAATTATTACAAAAGTCTATCTTTACCTCTTCGTTGAACAACAGTCAAGTTTTTTCTGTGGCAGTTGCTAAGCACTATAACTTCTTTGGTGTCTTGCCATTTGACACAAATGGTACCATACTTATTTCCAAGAATTTCGGACTCTCCTCTGTTTATTTGTTTTGTAATCTTTGGTATATTTTTTCTATTTACAACAGTTCCAGCTGATGGAAATGGAATGTTAGTAATAATTTTTAAAGATATAAAAAATCTGTCGATACATAATACGACATCTGTTGACTATATCGTATTGGCTAGTTTGTATACAACTCTTTTGCCAAGAGTTCCTTCTTGTTGTTGATCTTCCTTGCCAGCGTAAATATTCATATCATAGGTATAACCATTGAAAGAATCACCTTACCCATATTTTGATTCCTCTTTTAGTGGGTTTCATTGGTAAATATTCCTTTAATCCAGAACGGCCTTTAAATGTTACCATACTTTCATCAACACTTTGCCTGGAAGAATCTGCTCGACATTTTTGGAATGTTGACTTTAGACAGTTCACTAATTCAATAGTGTTCATCCACATAATATGTTTTGAGGTACCCTGCTTTTCTGGATCATTTACGTATAATTTAAATAATAAAAATGTAAATCTATTTCTAGAAATACAATTTTTTACTAGTATATTTCCTACTGAAGGATGTGCAGTCCAATAATGTCTAAGACCTGGCAATCTGTTATAACTCATTACTAGGGAAGATCCTAAAACAATTGCAATTTCACCTACATCGGTTTTAGTGATGTGCTTCTTTTTGTGTTTTTCTAATATTGTCAGCCTTTTATTTATACATGCAAAAATAAAGATGAATAAACTTGGAGGAAATAATTTTTTGAACACCTCAAATCATGTCAAAGATCTTGTAAATCCTTTGACTAACTTACACGTATTTTTTGCAGGAATGCTGAACCTTGATAGAAAGTCATCAGAGAGGCTTGACCACACAATGGCTTCATCTTGATTTTTATTGTTTTTTTGTATTTCTTGATTTTGGTCTTCATTTTCTGTGCGATCATCGTTTCTACATTCTCTTTCACTATCTGAAGATTCTCCGTCATCTTCACTTATTTCCCCATCCTTACCTTATTTGGAAGATTCTGTTTCGGTTTCATAATCTTTATCTCTATCATCATCTATATCTTTATCTTCAGAAACATTTGCCCAATAATTTAATTCTTTTTCTGATAATGCTCTCTTCGACATATTGTAACAAAAAAACCACTGGGTTTTATACGTTCCCAGTTTCCAGTAGAAAATTGCATGTTTTTTACTTGGTTTTTGAAATAAATTTTACGAATAGATATTATGTTTATAATAAATTTATGTTTAAATTTAATTACCTGTTAAAATGTTTATGAAAGAACTGGAAATAACACAAACAAAGCAAAAAAGCTTCAAACACGTCTAGCACGCTTGTAAACAAGTAAACAAATGACCGCTAAACAACAAGCCACGTTGCCAGAACTTCTCTATTTTCAAGAATATGCTGGAAGAATACCATTAATCTAATACATTAAAATTGGGTCATATTTATACCAAATAGAAATTTTAAATTTTCGTCGGGACATACATAGCCCAAGGGGGTTGAAAGGGTTAGTTGGTGACTGGAAGCATCTACTTCTATTTGTGGGTTTGAAGATAGGAATGGATTTCTAAGGACAGGAATACTTTCAAGACAAACAATGTCATCATTTAATTCTAAGTCGGACTTTGTCGTGGATAAATGAATTAGAAAATTAAATTTTGTATGGAATGTTTTTGTTTGTAGTTTTCGTATTTCTTTTTAAAATATTCTGTGAACAATATAAGAATTAAACCATTATTATAATACAACGCATGATAGTTTGATAGTGCTTTTGCTAGTTTTTTCCCACGACATTTTACATTTGTATAATATTTTTACTTACCTACTTACTGCTCACTGTGAAGAATGTTTTTGTTTATATTTTTCTTATTTTTTATTAAACTTTTCTGTATACATTGATTGCAATAATTAAACTATTTTATATTACAATGTATAGTGTTTTTTCTAGTTTTTTCACACCTACTTCTTATTTGAAAATGTGTTACAAATTTTAATTTTACTACTTAAGAGGGGTCTTAGGGACAGGAGTATAATAACCTACTATAAAATGTTTTAGTAGGTAGTAACCTGTAAAAGTGTAGTAGAATTTCAGATTAGTGCCAACATGTTTGCAAGAAAAAAGGATGTTTCATTTTATCAAATTTCACAAGCGAGGGGGAGGCAGAAGATATTGTCCAAAAATTAAAAAAAAAGTAAAAAAAATTCAAGTAATTAGAAATGACCATAGATCACTGTACAGGTGTATTTATGGAGCTCATTAATTTAAATCAACGTTTTTGCAACCAGCTTTGTGAATACAGACAATTTATGACAGAAAATAGATTAGTTGGGTCTATTTTAAGAATTAAATTATTTAGAAATAAATTAAATATTATTCTAAGTATAAACAGATTTATTAATTTTAGTGTACGATGCATCGGCTAAAATACCTTATTCAGGAATGATGGACTCAGGACGAATGAAACTCGGAAATTATGATGAATGCATTGAAATAGATCATAGTATAAATAGTATTCGTATTTTGGGCAAATATTGCCTTGCTGGACTGGTAATTCCTGATATTACGAATATAACAAATATTGATGTGAGTATATATAATTTTACTTTAATTCGTTTATTATTTTCATTATTTTAAACATTAAACACGTATAAACAAAAAATACATTATTTATTTTTGTAGAAATATTATAAACTTGCAACCTGTATACCTGATGCATGTTCTGCTAATGAACTTCTTACACTAGCAAATGCTTTTTTATTTGAAGGATTTCCTCCAATTTTTATAGACGACTATTGTTCAACTAAAGAAACTGGAAAAGAATTGTCAACTGGTAATATAATATCAATGTAAGTTCTTAACTGTAATTTAACCAATTATTTATTTAATTTGTTTTCTTGTACCATCAAAACTAAAATGTATATGTAAGCATATTTGTCAACTTATTGTCAATGGATGTAAGTTCAAAATGTAGGTTTTAGAAGGCATTTACAAAAAAAAATAGTAGTTTATAAAACAAAAGTGGATATGATGGCCATATTGTACGAAGACGAAGTTTGAGGGGGATGCGGAGAATTAGTTGTCTAAGTGCGATGCAGACAATCTGCTCGAGTTATATATTATATTTTTTCTACGAAAATCTGCACATTTTAAAAATTAATTTAGATTATTAACATAAAATAACTAATTTAAAAATAATTTATGACTTTTTCTATTATTTATTACAAAATTAAATAAACATGAAAAAAAAAAGATTTAAATTGTTTCCAGCACAGACTTGAATTCGGGCCTCTCGCATGACAGCTAAATGCCTGGTCTTACCCCCATCGAGACAATTGCCACTTTACTTTTAATACTCGTAATTAAAGGACACCGCACTTTTTACATTGATTTTGGGTACTGGCAGAATTTATTAAAATTTTAGCATGTTATTTTTCAGGTCATTAAGGGCAACTTTCTTATGGACCTTAAGTAGGCAGCTCTACAGGGTGAGTTGTTAGAACGATTCAAAAGTAAGGAGTGCAAAATTAATATTTTCAAATATATCTCCACCACTCTTTAGTATTTATTGTCTTTTCCATGAAACTTGTGTAATGTGTTACCCTTGTATATAGTTTGTTAATGCTTAATTACACTTTACAAAATAAATTATACAGCGTGTTCAAAAAATTAGGAATATCAGTTACTGAAATATCGTGCATTTTACATGTATTACCATAGTTAAAATATGACTTGTGGCCATTTCTTTATTTCATTTCATATTAGATAATTTTTATAAGTAATACAGGGTGTGATAAAACTACACAAACAACTAAGAATTACAAAAACGCATTTAACGAAAAATTGGTATACCTAAAATATTGTAGAAAGTTTTGAAACGAATTCAGTTTTGCTCTTATTATAACCATAGCTCTGTTTATCTAACCAAGTCCCGTTCTAAGCCTACTTAAATGTAGAAATAATTCTACTAACTCTGATTTGAATGAATGACTGAGAAGACATTCTAATTGAAATACCCTTTCTGATTTTTATACACAGTACATATGTCAACTTACCACTTGTAAATATAATTCTATTTCTGAGGATTTAGTAGGTTAATTTTAGTTAAATTAAAACATAAAAAAAAACTTTTATAGTTTTTTGATATTTAATCCGTGCCAATATTGTTTATCTATTCCATATTACTATATACTTTTATCTTGATATAAATAATTTTTTACGCCTTAAACATATTTTTTTTTATTTCTTTGTTTATTAATCAGATTATAATTATAAAAGGATTCTATAAGATAAAAGGTTGGCGAGTGTTAGATTAAATAACAACTAAATTATCATGATAGGGTTAACACGTTTGTATCTTTGCAATTTCAGACTATATTTGCTGCGTTTGTTTATCCATATCGGATGCATCTGAGATGTGGATCTTTGATCACGTGATTCAAGTTACGTACATTAGTTGGAGGAGATACGTCTGATGTGGATAAATAAACGTTTGAGAGATTAAAAAATCGGATGTGAATATTCAAACGTAGCAATTCTATTTTACATTGTATATTTTCTTCTTCTTTTTTGGGTTGTCATTAAGAGCAATTTCAAAAGTTTGTTGTTAGGATTTTTTTGATAGTAAGTAGTTTATTTTTGTTAGGAAACTTTTTATGTAGCGTGCCTTTGCTTTTTGCAATATATTTGAGTTTTGCGAATAATGTGAAGCACACTTTATTTATAAAATAAAATTCAAGAGAATTCAATTACTAGATATTACTGAAAATGTAAAACTGATTCAAAAACTATATGCATGTGTGCTCATATTTCAAGTGTTTTGTGGTACTTGGAATACGCACGATTCGAAAATTATATAAAGTACCCTTTAAGTCTTTTTTTAAGAACTATTTTAGATGTTGTTGAAAGATGATTTTGAAGGTGTGTAAATAGTTAATGTATTTAATAAAACAGGTTTTTAAAAATGTAGTTTCTTTTATATGGATTTATAATTTAGTGGAAGTCTAAAAATCTATGTAAAGAAAGTGTAATATTTTTATATTAATATTATTTGTCTTTCTGTCACACCCTGTATTATTAGTTAATATTATCTAGTATTTAGTATAACAAGTGATCAGAAGTCATGTTATAATTATGGTAATACATGAAAATGCACCCTATTTCTGTAATTAATATTTCAATTTTTTAAACACTGTGTATGATTTATTTTTAAATGTGACAGTAGGCATTAACAAGCCACATACAAGTGTAACTCATGCCATAAGTTTCACGTATAAAACACTCACTCTTAAGATATATATGAAAATATTAATTCTGCACTCCTTATTTTTGACTCCTTCTGACAGCTCACCCTGTAGAGCTGCAAACTTGATGTCCATAAGAAAGTTGTCCATTATGACCTGAAGAGTAACATACAAAAATTTTAACAAATTCTGTCAGTACCCAAAATCAATGTAAAAAGTGCGGGGTCCTTTATTCCATAGTTTTATTAAAATGTATGATTTATCTGTACATATAGACCAAATAAAAATAGAAATGCTATTATTTATCGATTCTACACAAGAATAACTACTTTTTGCGTATATTTAATATCAATAGCTAAAAATATATTGACATTTGGTCTGACAGAATTATTTAAAAAATAATAGTATCCGGGTGACCAAAATATGAACTGGGATTGGTGGATTTCATTTTTTGCAGTGTTGTTCCTAGGTAGAATGGATATTAAATACGAGGGTTATTCAATAAGTAAAGAGAGGTTATAGCTCAAAACCGGTTTATTTCAATCTTTCAAAATTAAGGCTATTTTTCAACATAACCCCCCACAGTTATGCACTTGTCCAATATTTCTTGCAACTTCCTAATTCCCTTGGCGAAGAATTCTTTCGGTTTACCCCGAAGCCACTTTTGCACCGCTTCCTTAACTTCCTCATTGTTAGCAAATCTTTTTTCACGTAGGGCGTCTTTGAGTAGTCCAAACAGGTAAAAATTAGATGGGGCGAGGTCGGGACTGTAGGCAGGATGAGGTAAGACCTCTCAACCCAATTCTTAAAGCTTATCACGGGTCAGCTGGGCTGTATGAGGGCGGGTGTTATCGTGCTGAAGAATGACTCCTTTTGACAAGAGTCCAAGGCGTTTGCTCCTGATAGCTGGTCTAACTGTCTTCTAGCATCTCAGAGTAGTATTGGCTATTGATAGTTCGCTGATCTTCAAGGAAATCGCAATAGACTGGACCCTGTGTGTCCCAAAAGGTGGTCAGCATCATTTTACCAACGGAAGGTTGAACCTTGAATTTTTTGCGAACTGGAGAGCTTGTATGTTTCCACTCCATAGTCTGCCATCTGATCTCAGGGTCCTAGTGATGGAGTTAGACCTCATCGCCGGTCACTATTCCTTTAAAAAAAGCGTCTCCTTCAATTAAACTTCGTTGCTGGAAAGCCTTGATTCTTTATGAGCGTCAGTAAGCTGTCTGGGAACTCATCTGGCATACGTTTTTTCTGTACTTTGAACATTGTGAACAGTTCCAACACTTACTTGAACTTCCTCAGCTATCATTTCAACAGTAATTCTTTTATTATTACGAATAAGTACGTCAATCCTCGATTCCAACGAGGGACCAGAAACTTCCACTGGACGTCCACATCAGGATTCATCACCTACACTTGTTCGACCACTTTTAAACCGATCAAGCCACTTATAAAAATTCGCACGGTTCATACAACTTTTACCGTACTGTATCAACATTTTAGAAAAAAATTCACTTCTCTCTTCTAAGGTGCAATTTTCTAGTGGACTTGCCATGGTGAATCGAAAAATTTGAGGTTATGTTGACATAAAATGATAAAACAGCTGATCGGAGCATATCCCAAGGTTGACAACTAACACCCCTGAAAAGATTGTACACATTCATTGAATAATTTTAAAATTATAGAATTTGTCTCTTTACTTATTGAATTATCCTCGTATATTCGTTTAATTGAACGCAATTGCATACTATTTTGTTTTGTGTGTAGATAAGCTAATATTTATGTAGGTGTATAAAAATTATATTTAATGACTAAAAAATATATTAGTTTGACAGAATTGTCATTTATTTAAAATAAATAGAAAAATAGTAGCCTGGTGACCAAAATATGAACTGTGATTGGCGGATTTCATATACGTGCAGTAAAATGGATATAAAATATTCTATCAGTTGACTGCAATGGCGTACTTTTTCGTTTTGTAGTCTGTATGTACATTATCTACTATCCATGTGGGTGTGGAAAAAGTAATTATTTTCTTTGTTTTAGGTTTGCCATTTTTCTAATTACAACGATAGTAATATTCAGTACAATTTATGACATTTATTGTCAAAAAATTAATTATAGTATGTACCTACCTACCTATTATGCATCTTTAATGACAAATTTAATATACATATTGGGCATTCCAACGACCTGTCAAACAATATCTGCCTGTGGAAAGAGCTCGTATAACTCAGGGGGTTGCGACATAGCCTTCCATCTTGGAAGCTATTTTTAAAATTGTATCCATTATTCATTATTTCACGTGTTGTACAAAGGTCTTTACAAAAACATACCACATATTCCTTAGACCAAAATAAGTCGATTTAAGTAAAATTACCTTAGTACAAAGTTGCTTCGTTTGGGCTCCAAAGGGCCTTGAAGTTACAATTTTTAAATTGTTTTTCCCATATAAATTTAAAACGGCATATGCGATTTTGCTGAAATTTGGTATATTAGTAGAGTTTTATGTAGCAAAAAAATGGTATTAAAATTTTGTCCGATAATAATACATAGGCGTAGAACTTGATTTTTAAATAATTGCACCTTTAAAAATTCTACGCCAATAGAAGAAAAGGAGTTTGAGTATGAAATTTAGATTGCGCAATTTATTTACTCTTGATAAGACTCGATTACTCTCATGGTTTTCGCTAAATTTCTGTTTTAATAATTTAGAGTGTATAGGTTTCACAAAAATATTTATTTACAACATAATCAAAATAGAGATTTTACAAAAATTGTTTAAAATGTTCACCATTTTCACGCATACAAAGATTTATACGTCGAAGAAAATTAAAATGTATCCTTTCCATAACTTCTTCATCACCTCTAAGATTGTTTATTGCATCTTGAATACGTTGCCAGAGTCTTTCTTCATTTTCTACAGGTTCCCTGTAAACTGTGGATTTCAGATGTCCCCATAAAAAGTAATCCATCTGTTTTAAGTCTGGGGAACGTGGTGGCCAGTTTACAGGTGCGTCATTACCTCTGCCTATCCATTTGTGTGGATATTGTTCATTCAAGTGGTTTCTAACGTTTAAAGAAAAATGTGGTGGAGCTCCATCTTGCATAAACCACATATCTCTCCAAAGTTGGAGAGGTAAATCTTCTAACAATTCTGGCAACGTATTTTGTAGAAAATCAAAGTAATTTTCTCCAGTTAATCTTCGTGGAAGTATGACAGGACCAATAATGAAATTATCCATTATTCCAGCCTACACATTAATTTTGAATTCGTGCTGAAAATGGTTTACCTTTATTGCATGCGGATTTTCAACGGCATAAACATGTTCATTTTGGGTATTAGTTATACCTGTTCTTGTAAAACCCGCTTCATCGGTAAAGAGAACCTTCTTGACAAAGTTTGGATCTCTTTCTCTTTGCATATTAACAAATCGACAAAAACCCAAACGAATTTGAGGATCATGGACTAATAATTCTTGTACTGGCTTCTTATGGTATGGATATAGCAATTGTCCTCTAAGCACTTTATGAACGATATCTTTACTTACTCCTAGTTCCCTTCCAATTCGTCTGGTGCTTAATTCTGGATCCTCTTCAACACGTTCTAAAATGTCTTCTTCAACTTCAGGAATCCTTACAAAACGTTCTCTTCCATTATCAACAGTGTTGGGAGCAAAGGAACCGGTCTCCCGAAGACGTCTCTCAACAGCAGCAAAAGTTGGGTGGCTAGGTACACGACGATTGGGAAACCTTTCAGAGTACACCCTGACACCCTCTCGAGCATTTCCTTCACAAAATCCTAATGTCAGTAACATATCGGTATATTCTGTATTGGTATATTGTACAGCCATATTAATAAACCACGCATTTGTTTTTTTAATTATTGAGTCAGATAGAACACTTTCAATCGTTAACAAGAGATTAGGTGTTAAAACTTGACAATATTTTTATTTAGACGAAACTATGGAAACCAACAATAAATGTTTTTGTATACGTATTGCAGGCAAATAATTAATATTCCTCAAAGAATCGTACATGGCAAGAATCGAGTATTTTTGTTAAAAGTCTCGATTAGAGGTGTTGAAGAAGATATGAAGAAAGTACATTTTTATGTTTTTCATCGTATAAAATTTTGTCCGATAATAATACATAGGCGTAGAACTTGATTTTTTAAATAATTGCACCTTTAAAAATTTTACGCCAATGGCAGAAAAGGGGTTTGAGTATGAAATTTGGATTGGGTACTCATTTACTACAAAAAAGTACCGTTGATAACACTCGATTTACTCTCACGGTTTTGACAAAGTTTGTATTTTAATAATTATTGTTTATGTTCTAAAATTACTAAAATGCAAATTTCGTCAAAACCATGAGCGTAATCGAGTCTTATCAAGAGTACCTTTTTTAAAGTAAATGAGTTGCGCAATCTAAATTTCATACTCACATTTCTTTTCTTTCATTGGCTTAGAATTTTTAAAGGTGCAATTATTTAAAAAATCAAGTTCTACGCCTATGTATTATTATCGGACAAAATTTTAATACCATTTTTTTGCCTCATAAAACTCTACTAATATACCAAATTTTAGCAAAATCGCATATGCCGTTTTAAATTTATATGGGAAAAACGATTTAAAAATTGTAACTTCAAGGCCCTCTGGAGCCCAAACGAAGCAACTTTGTACTAAGGTAATTTTACTTAAATCGACTTATTTTGGTCTAAGGAATATGTGGTATGTTTTTGTAAAGACCTTTTACAGACACCCTGTAGATCTAATGCATCGTATGTCGCAACCCCTTAGGTACACTAACCCTTCCCACCGATAGCCGTTTCGTTTGGAATGCCTAATTACATTGCAGCTGAAATAATTATTTTTTTCAATTTCAGAACCAGCTCATCCTTTATCATTGGCATTTTCCGCAGTAACAAATACAAAAAATATTCTGAAAGTTTCGCAAACACCTTCTGGAGAAAGCATTCAAATTTTTAATGGCTTCAGGGCCATTAGTGTTGCTTGGATCATTTCTGGACACGGCATTCAAATATTTGCAAATGAGGTCATGCCTCTAGAAAACTTAGACAAGCTTTATACAGTAAGTGCAAAGTGCAGTTAAAAATACACAATACTCCAAGAAATTAACGCACTAGGAAATACATAAAAATAGACTAGTTGGTAAAAGTAACAATTATATACAGGGTGAGTCATGAGGAACCTTACAGACTTCTACCATATGTAGAGTCCCTTAAGGGGTATATCATATGAGCATTAAAAAGTGGCAACTCCCCTTCGTTATTAATATACGGGGTGTTTTGTGAATTTTGACCAAACTTTATATGGCCGTAAAATCTACAAGGATTACTAGATTTCTTTAGTTTTTTGGTGGAGCTTTACACTGGTGTCGTTAATTCATATCCTCAAAAGTTAAAAATTCCAAGATTGGCTTAGGAAAAATTAATATCGACGATTCATATCAAAAAGTTCGCCCTGTATAAGATTTTTTTAAATTATAATAAGATTTTTTTAAAGTACATAGATAGACAATCAAAACTGTGTATGTGACATTTTTGTCACATTTTCTTTAATTTTTTTATTAAGTTTTGATTTTGGGCAAAACTGAAAAATCACCTTATGGGGTCACATTATAATGTTATAACTTAAAGAGATTTCTCTAATTTTTTGGTGTAGCTTTACACTGGTGTCTAGTATTTAATTCATATCCTCAAAAGTTAAAAATTCCAGGATTGGCTTAGGAAAAATTAATCTCGACGATTCATATCAAAAAGTTCGCCCTGTATAAGATTTTTTTAAATTATAATAAGATATTTTTAAAGTACATAGATAGACAATCAAAACTGTGTATGTGACATTTTTGTCACATTTTCTTTAATTTTTTCATTAAGTTTTGATTTTGAGCAAAACTGAAAAATCAACTTAAGGGGTCACATTATATTGTTATAACTTAAAGAGATTTCTCTAATTTTTTGGTGTAGCTTTACACTGGTGTCTAGCATTTAATTCATATCCTCAAAAGTTAAAAATTCCAGGATTGGCTTAGGAAAAATTAATCTCGACGATTCATATCAAAAAGTTCGCCCTGTATAAGATTTTTTTAAATTATAATAAGATATTTTTAAAGTACATAGATAGACAATCAAAACTGTGTATGTGACATTTTTTTCACATTTTCTTTAATTTTTTCATTAAGTTTTGATTTTGAGCAATACTGAAAAATCAACTTAAGGGATCACATTATAATGTTATAACTTAAAGAGATTTCTCTAATTTTTTGGTGTAGCTTTACACTGGTGTCTAGCATTTAATTCATATCCTCAAAAGTTAAAAATTCCAGGATTGGCTTAGGAAAAATTAATCTCGACGATTCATATCAAAAAGTTCGCCCTGTATAATATTTTCTTAAATTATAATAAGATATTTTTAAAGTACATAGATAGACAATCAAAACTGTGTATGTGACATTTTTGTCCTTTTTTTTTTAATTTTTGATTTTGAGCAAAACTGAAAAATCAACTTAAGGGGTCACATTATAATGTTATAACTTAAAGAAAAAATTGTTAATGGTATACATTTGAACTAAAACGAGTCTAACATAAGCCTTTAGTGCCTACACCGTTAATATCATTTTATTCAATTTCCAGGTTAGTTATAAATGTTTAATTAATTTTTAAACAAAAATCACCCTGTACATTTTTGGAGACTTTTTGAAGTTCATATGTATTTATTAGAAATATTTTATTTCGTTTAAATTTCATCAACAAACAATAAATAAATTTTAACGAATTAGAATAACGAACAACTAAGAAATTTAAAAAAGCTAACACTACATACATAGAATAATGATAACATGTATACTAGAAAATAAAATCATGGTAATAAATTAACAATTACAGTAGTTGTTCGAAATAAAACCCTCCAGCTTCTACGCATTTTTGTTGCCGAATCGTTAAGTGCCTTATTGATTTACGGATAGTCAAGGGATCGTTTCTAATAACATTAGAGCAAAGGATAATTCTATCAATTAATTGTTGTCGGTCATTAATATTTTGTGAATAAACTAATTCTTTCAATCGTCCCCAAATATAGTAATCTACGGGGTTAAAATCTGGGGATCTTGGAGGCCATGAAATAGGACCTGCACGTCCTATCCATCTGTTGCCAAAAACATTATTTAGATGGTTTCTTACCGCAACTAAAAAATGAGGCGATGCTCCATCATGTTGGAAATACATTCCTCGGATACCTACGTTGGCTAGTAAATTTGTCAAAGTATTTTGCAAAAAGTCTAAGTAAACTTGTCCTGTTAAAGGACCATCAAAAAAGTGAGGTCATATAAATTGTTTATTTATCACACCAATCCACACGTTCACGGAAAACCTTAACTGAGACCGAAACTCTCGAACAGCATGGGGATTGTCTACTGCCCACACATGTAAATTACGGGAATTATTTATCCCATCCCTTATGGGGCATTTTGAATAACAACACCAACAACAAAAATTCTAACACTATTGTAAAATAGATAAAACAAAGCGAAATATTATTTTACACGTATAAATAATGGTTGCAAATGACAAATAAATAAGAACAAATAAACGTCAAACTATCACAACCTACCTTGATACATAGGTACCTACTATGTATTTATAATAAAAATAAAACCACATAATATCTTAGTTGCAAGAATAAAATGTGCAGTTTTTATTAGAGGTTAATAAATAGCATTTATAATTATTAATTAATAAGTGTGAATTTATTGTTTGTTATTGTTATTCGCTACAATTTATTTATTGATTATTGACATGTTTAATTTAGTTGAGTAGTTTCTATAGTCTGCAAAAATAGGCCGATTTCTATTTAAAATTTAAAAATGAACTAATCCGGATCTGGAAATTGTCGAAAATGGATTTAACGATCTAGTAAGCTCACTAAAGGCTTATGTTTGGCTCGTTTAGTTCAAATGCATACAATTACCAATGTTTTCTTTATGTTATAACATAATTTATGTGACCCCTTAAGGTGATTTTTTAGTTTTACCCAAAATCGAAACTTAATAAAAAAAAGGTGACAAAAATGTCACATACACAGTTTTGATTGTCTATCTATGTACTTTAAAAATATCTTATTATAATTTAAAAAAATCTTATACAGGGCGAAATTTTTGATATGAATCATAGAGATTAATTTTTCCTAAGCCAATTCTGGAATTTTTAACTTTTGATGATATGAATTAAATGCTAGACACCGGTGTAATGCTCCACCAAAAAATTAAAGAAATCTAGTAATACTTGTAGATTTTACGGCCATATAAAGTTTTGTCAAAATTCACAAAATACCCCGTCTATTAATAACGAAGGGGAGTTGCCACTTTTTAATGCTCATATGATATACCCCTTAAGGGACTCTACATATGGCAGAAGTCTGTAAGGTTCCTCATGACTCACCCTGTATAATTGATATATATTTTATTAGATTGAAAAAATAATGTAAATTTAAATCGTATTATTAATTAATTAATTAATGTTCCACTAATGTCGTTAACAACGAGAAATTCCACCTATTCTTTAGATGACAGCCTGACATCAATGACCCATACTAAAAATAAAGTATATCATTTTAATCCAGTCCATTTCAAATTTCTACAAGACGTTGTCTAACTTTCTTCAAATTATTTGATCGATTTAGGGTGACTCCTTAGGCGTCTACTAAGCATATCTCAAATATGCTCATTAGGGTTGAGATATTATTTTAATGCTTTGCTTTTAATATCTTAAAGGTAATTTTGAACCTATCTTGCAAATAAAAAAAATTGACCAACATATGGTGCAAATGGTAAAACATATTCAAACATCTCCCCAGGCCATTATTGATCCTATACCGAAATACAATGTTGCTTGAGGCGTATCTCTCATTTTGACATCAGTATAAAAGAAAACATCTATCAAACGAACTCTGCAATGCTTTACATTCAGGGAGAGACCTCCTGCTAGAACATGTGCTGCTTGATTAGACTTTAGGAGACCATGTGGACCAGAATAGGGCAATTACCATTGGGGTGGGGTGGTCGGAGCCCACCATATGGCCACTTTTGACGAATTAAAAAGCCACTAAAAAATGGAGGATGATGGCTTCTTAGCAACATTATTAACCTGCAGAACTTTGACGAGCTGAAAGGTAGTTCCTAGATACCTAGCGTCTAGAAGACGTTGGCGAACTGTTTCAGTACTAATTTGAATACAATAAGCGTCTTTAAACTGAGATGGCAAGCTTCTACATGCAACACATTTAATAGTGAAAATTCTCAAATATCAATCTTGTATGGTGGTTGGGCCATGGTGTCTTCCTTGTCTAGGTCATCTCGAGTTACTACCTCTTTTCCAATACCACTCGAGGTACCGATATATGAGGCGAATGTTAGTCGCCTAAGCATTTTTTATTTATTTATATTGTTCCTCTTCTATTCTTCTATCTATCTATATACAGTGTGTCCGAAATTGATGATGCATGTATTGAGATCTCCGAAACTGTTAGATACGGAGGAAGGTGAAAAAACAGAGCTTTTTAAACACAGTTGATGATGGCTCCAAGAAACCGAAACGTTGCAAATAAAAACTGACGACACAGGCGTTTTCTATGTAAAAAGTTGCTTCAAGAAAGTTTTTACAGATTTTAGAAATTTTCATAAATAAAGAAAGTACAGGGTATTTTCAGAAATGCGTCATTTTAGTTTTTTTAAAATATCTCAAAAAACAAAAGAGAAAAAATCTCAAACTAAACGGCATTGAATTGTAAACACAATTTCTAAAACTTTCCCCATTTAACTATTTTTCTATCTCCAAGAGTTTCGGAGATCGCAACACATGCATCACCAATTTCGGACACACTGTATATAAAAGCGAAATACCACTCACTGACTTATCACAAGATCTATAAAACTATAAGCCCGATTGACTTGAAATTTTTCTCGTCGTAGACACCAACTATGAACGAATTTTATAAACAAAACATTTAAAGGAGGGGAGAAAGTTTGTATGGGATATCGAATTTTTTAAAGGTAGAAACTTGAAAATTGGAAATGTAGCTACTCATCATAAATAAATAATGACGTAATAATGTTTTTGGATTTTTACATTTTAAGGGGGGTGAACGTTTGTATTGTAGAATAGATTTTTTAGAGGTAGAAACTTGAAAATTGGAATTGTAGCTACTCATCATTAATAAATAATGACGTAATACAGAGTTTTTGGATTTTAACATTTTAAGGGGAAAAATGGGGTGTAAACATTTGTATGAAAGTATAGATTTTTTTTAGAGGTAGGAACTTGCAATTTGGAATTGTAGCTTCTTATCAAAAATAAATAATGACTTATTTCAGGGTTTTTGGATTTTTACATTTTAAGGGTGAGAAATGAAGGGGGGGTGGGTCGAAGGTTTGTATCGGAGTTTAGATTTTTTAAAGGTAGGAACTTGCAAATTAGAACTGTAGCTACTCAACATAAATAAATAATGACGTATTTCAAGATTTTTGGATTTTCACATTTTAAGGGTGGAATCCGGGGGGGTGAAATTTTGTATTAGTTTAGTTTTTTATGTCTAATATCTAACCTATAGATAATAGCCAATTGTTTTTTTTGCAGACAATGCAATCAAGAGCATCGACTTATTTTTTTTCAGGTACATTAGCTGTCACTACTTTTTTCTTCATGAGCGGATTCCTAATAAGTTATTTGTATTTCAAAAGGAAACCTAAAAGTTGGTTAGCACAATTAAAAACTATTCCTATGTTATACATTCATCGATATATAAGGTAATCAAATATTTTATATCTGTAGAAATAAAAATTTTTAGGAAACGTACGCAAGTCATTACAGGGTGGAAGAGAACTTTTCGGCGAAATCCAAAAACACGTCAAGTTTGTTTGTCAACGGGACACCTTTTAACGCAAAAATTTTTGACGCAAAAAGCATAGTTGTTTTTGAAAATCGAGCAATTCATTTAGAAAATTATGGAGCCTTGAAAGTTAAACAATTATGTGTGACGGAAAATGCAGAAAGCGATTTAATTCAACTTGAAACCTTGCCGTATTTTTTAAATTACATTAATTATTCCTAGATTTAAAATAAAACACTTCATTAACTCGAAACACTAAAACATTTGTTGCTATAATGATATTTTTCAAATGAAATTGCTGTTTTTGCCGCTTTGCAGATTCTTAAGCTCTTTTATGTTTATAAAAAATTATCGAGTTTCTTTCTTCACGTTTAAATTAAAGTATTTGCTAGATACCTGTCTTATGGTTAGTGTTTCGGTATTATTGTCATTTTGATTACGTCAATTATGTTGTACTCAATTGCAGAAAGAGTGGAAATTATTGAGCTCTTTTTCAAAAACAATGAGCGTGGAAATCGGGTCGCAGAGCTGTTTTGCTATCGGCATCCTGATACACCTTTTAGGGAAAATTGTTCGCAAATTGGTGATAAAATTTCTCGAAACAGGTTCAGTTCACAACAAAAAGAGAAACCTTGAAAATCCAGTGTTAACCTACGGAGATTGCAAGTATTGGCGCAAGTTACAGTGGATAGTACACTGAGTACAAGACAATTGGTCATTGCGACGGGTGTGTCTCGTAAAAGTGTCCAACGGGTATTTAAAAAAATACAAATTCCATCCTTATAAAATTCACTTAGTGCAAGAAATGAATGAAGACGACTTCGATCGTCGCTTGCAATTTGGCGAAATTATGACTGAGCGAGCGTTGAACAACAATGATAATTTCCTATTTAACACAATTGCCGCTACTGGGCTGGGAACAATCCAAGGATTTTCCACGAGACACACACGCATACACAACACCTCGAGAAGTTAAATGTACGGGCTGGTATTTTTGGAAATTCCATTGTAGGCCCTTTTTTCCTTCCTGGAAATTTAACAGACAATATGTACTTGGATTTACTACAAACTGCCATCGACCCAGCTCTAACAAATGTCATAGAGAATGATCCTGCATACAACGAACGGAACTGATTTTGCAACAAGACGGACCTTCGCCGCATTTCTCACTAAATGTGCTCAATTATTTAAATGACACATTTTAAGAACGAAGGGGTGCAACTAAGTGGCCACCTCGGTCACCCGACTTAAAACCTTTAGATTTTTTCATGTGGGGACACATAAAAAGAGTAGTTCACAAAACTGCACCTGGCACATTAGAAGAGTTGCAAAGAATAATCATTAACGCATGTCGGGAGGTGACACCGCAAATGCTCCAAAATTCAAGTTAGCGGCAGCACTTTAAGCATTTACTTGACTAATACGGTAAGCATTGAATCGCTTTTTACATTTTCCGTCACACATTATTGTTTATCTTTCAAGGCTCCAAATCTCAGCAGCGTTATATAGGCATTGATAAGACCCTCTTATTGAGATATCACTTGACCCCCTTCCCCTTTGAAAAAATTTTAAGGATGACACCCCTACTGAGCTGGTTGTAGGTTCTACTATGCTTTTTTCGTCAAAAGGTGTCCCCTTGACAAGCAAACTTGACGTGTTTTTAAATTTCGCCAAAAAGTTCTTTTCCACCCTGTTCTGCCTTGCGGTACGTTTTAAAAAAATTTGGAGTGGTTTCAATTACTGAATTTTTTAAATATTAGTTTCAAATAAAAAAAAAATACGAAAAACTAACAAATTTAAAAAATATTCCTTATCTGCTCTTGCTCCTCTTGTCTTCTTGCCTTTTTGTTGCTGTATTCTATTTTAAATTTGTTAACCTTTCCGTAACGTACAAATTTGCTAATCAGAACTATCCATATCAAAATCCCCCCATTTTGTATCCCATTAGTTTATTACAGAGAGTAAAGCAGAACAAAATACCAAAAGACAAAATGAGAAAGGGAAGACACTTTTTTTTTGTTTTTTTAGTATTTTAATTTTTTTTAGTTTCTTTTTGGTTTGTTTTTAGTTTTTTTAGTTTTTTGTTTTTTGTTTCTGTTTTTTTTTTAATTTTGAGAATTATGTTTTTTAAAAGACCAGGCACCTTTCTGTTAGAAAAATTTTTTTTGTGAAATTTTCTGAAATATTAATGTTGTAGATCTCGATATACTAATACAAGTCTTCATTGGCCCAAACCGATTATATGACTAGTTTTCATTCGCGATTGTTGTAGAAAAAATATATTATAGATTATTTGGGATTGCCTTTTTGTAAAAAGTTACTGTATAAATTGGTTAATTACAGGGCGGATCGGAAATAAGTAATATTTTTTTTATGTTATGTTTTTTTTTTATGACGACCTGTTAACTTTATAAATTATTTTACAGTTTTACATTAACAAAAGTTTAGTATTTAAATGAACAAGATTTTGTTGGAATCCTATGACCAGTTTTTCTAAAAAGTATATCCAAAGTTACTATAGTTTAATACAATGTTTTTAATACCCATTTTGCTTATCATTATATATAGAATTAAATGCATTTTTAACCGACTTCAAAAAAGCAGAAGATTTTCAATTCGTCGCGATTTTTTTTTTGTATGTTCAGCGATAATTCTTCAATACGGTGTCTGATTTTAATGATTCTTTTTTGTTAGAAAGGGGGTACTTCAGGGGTGGTCCCATATATATTTGGTCAAAATCTAATAATTGGGTCCATGAGAAAATCCTCTTAATTTTTTATGTACGTTAAGCGATAATGCTTTACCACCTTGTCCGATTTATATGATTCTTTTTTTGTTAGTAAGGGGTTTCCTCAGGGGTGGTCCCATATAAATTTGGTTGAGATGTGGTGATGGCATCTGCACGTTTTGGAATTTTTAATTTCTAATACTTGTTCTTTTCTATCTCTATACAGATAAGGAAAGTATAGGAATCATGATTTTTTTCGACCTACGTTTTGGGGTCCCCTGAATCCGTTTTGACCATTTCTGTCTGTGTGTGTACGCACGCACGCGCGTGTGCGTGTGCGTTGCGTGTGCGTTGCGTGTGCGTTGCGTGTGCGTTGCGTGTGCGTTGCGTGTGCGTTGCGTGTGCGTTGCGTGTGCGTTGCGTGTGCGTTGCGTGTGCGTTGCGTGTGCGTTGCGTGTGCGAAGCGTGTGCGTTGCGTGTGCTTTGCGTGTGCTTGGCGTGTGCGTTGCGTGTGCGTTGCGTGTGCGTTGCGTGTGCGTTGCGTGTGCGTTGGGTGTGCGTTGCGTGTGCGTTGCGTGTGCGTTGCGTGTGCGTTGCGTGTGCGTTGCGTGTGCGTTGCGTGTGCGTTGCGTGTGCGCTGCGTGTGCGTTGCGTGTGCGTTGCGTGTGCGTTGCGTGTGCGTTGCGTGTGCGTTGCGTGTGCGTTGCGTGTGCGTTGCGTGTACGTTGCGTGTGCGTTGTGTGTGCATTGCGTGTGCGTTGCTTGTGCGTTGCGTGTGCGTTGCGTGTGCATGTACGTTTCGTGTGCGTTTTGTCTGCATGTGTGTGTGTGCCACCTCATTTTTTTGTAAAATAAACGCCTAGACACATCTATATTGACCACCCATATTAGCACCGTTATAATATGATTTATCTCTGCAGTAAATAAATGTCTAGACACATCTATATTGACCAGCTTTTTCCAAAATATATTCTGCCAAACCAGCACCTGTTTTTTCATTGATGGCTATAAAATCTACAATTCTGTTTTTTATCGTTCTCTTGGTATTTTCGAAATGAACATACCTAATAGTTTGTGCCATTTGCTCTTGATGGCTTACGTCAGACATGTAGTCAAAGGCAATACTGTAATGTTTAGCTTTTTTTTATTATATTTCTCTTGCCTAACAGTACCACCTAAACGGTCAATTAATTCATTTTGAATTTGTTAGGAAAAATTAGAGACAGATCCTTTAGAAATAGATCCTACGTGATCAGCAAGTTTTGATCATGCTAAGTAATACAAAGGAAAATTTCCGACTCTCTATCTCCTATTTTGTTTGACTTACCACAAAGTGCCAAATCATTATTTTGGCACCCCCTTACGCTTGGCGTCCTAGGCAGGTGTATTTGCTGCCTTCGCTCAGCTTCGCCATAACTTCTAATAACACTAGAAAACTATAAGGAAAATAGATATTACAAATTATAAACTACAGTAACTGTGTATACACATTTTTGGAAAACTGGTCATAGAATTACAACAAAATTTTACACAGTTAAACACTGAACTTTTGTTAATATAAAATTTAATTTTTTATAAAGTTGACAGAGACACTTTTAAAACAGGAGACGTTGCAACAAAAAACTGCTTTTCTATTTTTTTAAAGTTTTGCAACCGATTTAACAATCTATACGACATAAAATGACAAGTCACACAAAATCAGGACACATCGTTTATACTGAGTTACTCGTTAAAGTTTAAAAACAATTAAAGAATAGGCCAAACTTCAGATGTAGTTATTTTCGATAAAAATAAGTTCATTCAAGCCAATTTACCTTAGTAGAGTTTTGCTTGCTCAAGAAGTTACAGGATGTAAAAATATTTTTTTTTCTTAAAAAAAGGTCTTCAAGCTAAAAAATTCTCCTCCTCTTTACTTAAATTTCTCTAAAAAAAAGGTCTTCAAGCAAAAACTTCTCCTTCTCTACTTAAATTTGTCTTCAGACAGAAACTTCTCCCCCTCTTTACTGAATCTCTCTAAAAAACTAAAGAAAAGGTCTTCAAGCAAAAACTTCTTCCCTCTTGTGCCGAACTTCTGAAAGTAAAAAAAAAATCCTCGCCTCGGGAATTGGTCCGGCTGCCCCCCCTCTTGTCGGCTCTGTTTATCAGTGGCATGGTGAACCAATGAGGATGGGTAGCACACCTTCTTTATGGCGCCAATCCAATATTATAAATACCTTTTTCACAAAAATATAAATAAAAGAGGTAGTTTTTGCAGGGGCAGCTCAAGCACAGCCCTAGACACACCACTGATTTTTATATGCGTTTTTTGTACAATAACTCCTGGCCTACTCTTAGTTTTGTTGATATGTTAACTCCAAGACGGACAAATTGCTCTAGAAATCTAGTTAAAAGATTGTATATAGCTCGTTAACTAAGAAAGATATAAAGTTCATTTCGCTATAAAAAAAATATTAAAAATGCACAGTTCTTTTTGATTTTAATATTAAAAAAAAAAAAAAAATACTGGATGTTAAAAGGTACCTAACCCCCAACTTTTTTTAATCCATATAATTCACATAAATATAAAATTGTTGTTTTCCTTCTTTTTTTTTAGATTAACCTCATCACTTGTTATGATTTACGTAATAGTTTTATATATATTTGAAAAACTTGGTAGTGGACCGCTATGGCATTCTGGTTGCCAATCAGAAATAAATAATTGCAGAAAACATGGGTGGTCACTATTTTTATATATCCAAAACTATGTAAACTGGGATGAATTGGTAAATAAAATCCTATTAACAATTTTAATTTAAATACATATATACGGTATCCCAAACCTAACTTAACCTAACCTAAACTAACCTCGGGTTAAGGTGTGTTGTATGGTTCCAGCTTTGATCAAAGTTGTGCGATTAAAATGTATTTTCAACTGAAGATACCTGTTACAATAAAATATTGTACATTTTTAAATTGTTTTGCATTATGATTTCAAGAACATTTCAAAAATACCTAACCTCACTATATGGGCCTAGGGCTAATTTATTATAAATATAAAGTTATAAATAAAAATTGGCCAACACATAATCCAAAGAAGACTGTGTTACTATTGAGCTCCACGATCACCTACTTTGGCTCTTTAAAAGATATTATTTTATAGGGAAGAAGTAACTAAAATTAAAAACATTAAAAGGTAAATGTGTGTCAACTAATATATCTATCCATCCATCTGTCTGAATTAGGATGTGGTGCAAAGCCCTCTTGTACTGTAACTGTAGGCTTACTGTACCCCTCTCAGTACCAGGTTGATATTCTTTATGTTTTTAAGTATATATCTACTTGACGATTTCGCAATTTCTTTGGGTTCTGAATATTGTACCCCTATTTAAGGTTCCTCCAAGGGCATAGTATGTGAATAGGACTTTCGGCCTCATTTTCACATATTATAAAAAGCGAGTGGTCAGATATCCCTAAAGGATTTAGGTGTTTTCAAATGCCGCAGTGTTCTGCAAAGAATCCTATTAATATTTGAGTTTGTTCCTGCTAGATTAGATTGAAAATCTCATAAACTTGCACTGTGACCCAGATGGATCTATTGTTATGGCTCATATCCTACTTATAGTTTACCGTAAAAGCCACGCTTTTTGATAAAGACCATTCGTTTTTGCTAAAGTTTAGCAGGAACGAACTGGAGGGACACAATATGAATATTTTGGAATGCCTGAATCCAGAAAGTTCTAACCAGAGCTTATGATGGTCTTTATTTTTCTGTATTATTGATATAAAATACCACATAAGGTTTCTAAATCAGTTAGATTTAGTTCCCTTTCAGGCTGCGTGGGTCTGATTTCTCCCAATTTTTCCAACACTTTCTCTGCACCCATTCAACAGTGACTCTGTTATGTACTGATAGAATCTGGAGTGACTACTGGTAATCCAATATTAATTTGGAGTGTATTCCTACTCCTACCCTTTTCAGTGCTTTCTCTAAGAGAGTCATTAAGCATAATGTATCCACATGCATTATGTGCTATTACTTCAGCCCATAATAGTGTCTATCATCAACTGATACTACTATTTCCATAATCACGAAATTTCCTGAGATCAGGGTAACAATTTAAACACTTACAGTGGCTATATCTCATAAAATGAAGAAAAGTAAAACCTAATAAAAACAATTTATTTTGTATCGAAACATTTAAATAGTACTTAGTGCAACTGGAGTGGATATGATGGCCATATCGCACGAAGACGAAATTTGAGCACGACGCCGCACAGTGTCTGAGGCACTCTGAGGTGAATTTTTTTTTTAATATTCGTCTTAAAATTGCCTATCGATCCCTTATTTTCGATTTTCGTTTTACGTCTTCATTTTTCCGGAATTCTGATCCAAAAATTGGATTTTATGCAGAAACGTAGATTTCCCGCACGAAACTGATCCTGCGGTACACGAAATTGAAATTTTACCAAACTTTTTATGGGAAAATGTTCGACTTCAAAGACCCTAAAAGACTCTTTACTTGGAATACAGTCAAAAAATTTTCATTGCCCTTGAAATGGTCATAATCATCCAAAATTTTCAAATAACAGGAAGCGCGTTTTACTTAACATTAGGATAATATTGGAAAAAATGTCATTGAATAAAAATTGTTTGTACTCATTCGAGGACTGCGCACGAATTTTACCAGAATTTTTGGCCACCTTTTTGGCCATATCACAAAATGTCCAGATACGACCATTTTCCAGATTTTCCCGAAATTCAAAAAAGCCTTAGAAAGGTTTCATAAATGGTTCTAAACACTTTTCGAGGAATTCAATTTATTGATAAAAGTGGCCATTTTGCATATATAATAGGTCATCATTAATGAACCATGATTAAATTCTCCTGGAACTTTTCGAAAAAAATGGATGATAGTGAAAGTCTTCAGCATCTAATGGATGGTTGGAGTTTTGAAGACTATTAGACACTATGTTAATTTTTCTTTTTTTGGTCATTTTCATTCAAAACCCACGAATATACGCAAAAATGTTCAAAAAATTATCTGGATTCCTGAGACAGGGATAAATATTTTTAGAATTATGGAATAACTGTGTAACAACCAGTTAGCCTAAAGACCATTTGTAACTACTGATAGGTCTTTAGCTACTGTTGTTAATATACTATTAAGGGATTAGGGCAGCGACGTCACCAGCCAAAGGGTCCTGGAGTCCTGAAGGAACATCCATTCGCCAGTGGCAAAAAAAAATAATAAAGAAAAAATAATAAAATACAAAAAAACATCCCTTAATAGCATATGTCGAGCGGTTCTTGGCAACTAGTTTTAGACTCTTTTAGTCCTAAGGGAATAGAAACGCCGAGGCTTCTCAAATGCTCGGAGTATTTTGCTGGTTTGGAAAGGGAGGAGAGATTAATAATAAGTATTAAAACATTAACAAATGTATATTAACAATAACTATAAAACTTGACAAATAGTCTTAAGAAAAAATGAACAAAATTCCATTTAGGGAATAAAGCACTATAACTAATAGTAATAAAGATAGGCATAAGATAAATATAATTCGGGACGAAAATGTAAAATTGGCATTTATATGTAAATCACTCAATCAATTAATTATTATTGACAAGGGGGGTAGCCATGTGTGAGTTGAGGTAATTTTAAGGTGAAGGGGGGAGAAAAAGTCCTTTATATCTCACAAGGAAAGTCAATGTTTAATTATTCAACAAAACATTGAGTGCGACCGGTTTCGAAGTATCATCACTTCATCTTCAGGCTCGCCTAGTGGAAAGGAGAATATGTGGTGTAAGGTGTGTTGACTTTGAGCCCACAATATATAAAAAATATAAAAATATAAAAAAAAATGACTTACATTCTAATATTAAATTCACATTAGAAATTGAAATAAACAAATCTATTAACTTCTTAGATCTTAAAATCTCACACAATAATAACAAGTTCAACTTTGACATCTATAGAAAGCCAACACATACAGGAACAGTTATAGACAATACCTCTAACCATCCAGCAACACATAAATTGGCTGCCTTTAATTGCTACTTAGAGAGGCTATTAAACATTCCTCTGTCTACGGAAAACTTTAATAAGGAACTAAATATAATTAAAACTATTGCTATAGATCACAACTTTGAACTGGATATTATTGATAAAATGCTAACACATAAACAAAATAAAATTCAACAAAACTTGGTTTATATTAATAATCCTAATTTGGTACATGAACTAACCACCAGTAAGAAATACATTTCTCTTACCTTTATTGGAAAAGCATCCTATAAAGTGGCAAGCTTACTTAAAGACCACTTTAAAGTATCTTTCAAAACCCCCTCCTCATTACATAAGTTATTTGTTCATAATAAAGATAAATTAGATCCCTTTGACTTGTCTGGAATTTATAAATTGACTTGTAAATCTTGCCATTCTTTCTATGTGGGACGCACATTTCGAAATTTCAAGATCCGTTTAAAAGAACATTTGCGTTGTCTTAACCAAAATACAACAGGATTTTCACAATTTGCCAACCACCTACTGGACTCAAATCACGACTTCGATTCAACTGAAGGTTTCGAAATCCTACATAGTTCCTACCATAGATTTACTCTTAATAGCTTCGAAAGCCTCGAGATAATGAGAAATTTAAAATTAAATCCTGTTGGTTGCTTAAATGCCCAGATAATGTCAGAAACTCCTCCAGTTTTCTCAACACTAATCTAAATTTATCGTTCTAACTTCCTTTTTAACCTCCCCCTTTATTTCTATTCACATATTTCCTTGCAAGGGGTACATTTCAGTAAGTAATTTCTTCCCACAAAAAACCAACGTGCATGTTTAAGGACTAGGTTAAGTTGTGTGTTTTCACATCTGTCATTTTCTTCTTTTATTTTTCAGTTGCTTCACAACAGTTAACCCAGTAATTTCTTCTTCTTCCTTATTTTATCCTACAACATCACATACACTTGGTGATTGGTTCATGGCCCAAATCTTATATAATAAATAATAAATATTTCTTCACTCATAGTTTACATCTTATTACCTATACCCTGTCATAAGTTTATCCAAGAATTTTTCGTTAGTACTTACCATCACCTGTAGAGGCCTTAACTTGACAGGTCTCCTTTCAAAAATGTTAGATTTTTATAAAAAACAGCAATGTTGCTTAAAATAGGCCTTATCTTTTAATCTGCTTAATGTATGTGATTTGTTTTTGTATAGTCTTGAATATTTTAAAATTTTTAACTGTTTATATCGACTAATATTTGTTTTTCAAATATTTTTAACTTTTTATAACTTGTAACATTGTTTTTGTTTTTACAATTTATTTCATCCCCCACGTTTTGATGAAACTTGTCTGTAGTATTCCCTAGTGGATGGAGAGTATGGTGAGTTTTTCTATTTTATATATTGTGGGCTCAAAGTCAACACACCTTACACCACATATTCTCCTTTCCACTAGGCGAGCCTGAAGATGAAGTGATGATAGTTCGAAACCGGTCGCACCCAATGTTTTGTTGAATAATTAAACATTGACTTTTCTTGTGAGATATAAAGGACTTTTTCTCCTCCCTTCACCTTAAAATTAATTATTAAACAAAAACATTGTAAAATTAAGTTAAAATATTTACCCATAATTCACATCGTACACAAAAACTATACTCTACACTTTACTTTATAATACAAAACCAGGGTTTCGCCCAAGGGGCGAAAGTTCTGGACCTTAGTCCGAACCCGACTGAGAGTTTACCCAAGTGATCCTTTCTATATAAAATCAAAATTTATGTGACTGTTGATTGTATTTAACAATGTCACGTTCAATGTATATTAATAAATTGAAGGTTTGTTCCATTGTATCTTTTTAATTATTTAATTTAAACAATAAATACTTGTTTAGAATTTTTGGTAAATTCCTTAGATTTTTTTCAATTAATAATAATGCCAATTATTACAACTGCTTGAGCTCCCTTCAAGTCCACAAATTCTCAAAAAGCTCAGTTTTCTGAAAGGTTATCAGCACGTTTGTAAAATTCATTTTCTCTACCATAGAGACCAGACCAGACTGCCCAAATTATACTAAGTACTTTTTGTGGATTTTACTTTCTTAATAAAGATGTCCATTTCTCATATAATAGTTCATTATTTATAAACATTAATTTTTCCTGGTTCTTTTCGAGAAAACGCATGGTAGTGAAAGTGTTTAGCACCAAATGGATGGTAAAAGTCTTGAGGACATTTGGCATAAACACGTCAACATAGGTTGAACTTTGGATTTTCAGGATTTTGATCCAAAACCCAGTTATATTTTTCCAACATTCTGGAAATTGATCTGCTGTGTCTGAGACAGGTTTACATATTTTTACCGCCATTACACAAATTCTCTAGAAGCTTAGATTTTTGGATAAGATTAAACCCTTTTCAAATCTTTAAAATTGAATTCCTGTTTGTCAGATGATTACCAAATACTTCATTAGCGCAACCCAGGATACACCGCTCTTTTTTTCTTTTCTTCTTCTTTTTTTAATATTCTTTATTTGTTTTATACCAATTTCGGCATAATAGTCTTTTACTAATACTAATTATATTAGAACGAGTTTATGACCTTTTTTCGTGATACATGGTTCAGTTTGTGAAAGAAATTTGACGTTCAGTAACTGTTTGATATCATCCAAGGGAGAGAAAATTTCGTGGACATTAGGCACCTGGATGTTTCAGTATACTTCAGTATTATTTTACAGTAATGTTTACAAATAATCTTCTTTCAAAAAATTTGGATAATCCAGACAGTTTGAAGCCTTTGTATAGAAATACTTTTTAAATAATTTTTAAAATAAAAAAACCGAAAAAAAAGAATACTAGTTCATTTTATTTTTCCCCATCAGAGAATTAAACTCGAGTCTCATTTATTTATAGTTTATTTATTTAAAACACACTATTTACAATTTATTCCAGACGTACTTAGACACTAACTAACAATTCTAATTTAAGTGTCGCTTGTCACCACTATCGTATGGACACGGTTAAACAATATTAATAAAACTGAATGTATAATGCAATTTAAATTTGAAAATATTGCTAATAGTAATAATTATGATTTAGCAAGTTGTGAATCTCGAGAAATATCTCATTTTGGGTGAGAGGATGACTAAGAACTTGGTGGATATGTTTGTGGACAATAAGCACTGATAATGGCACAATGCCCAAAGCGCTTTGATTTATTAATTAAAAATTTTTGCACGAAATACAAGTCTTTCCTTTTAAATCTAATTTATTTATTACACTTTTACTTTTCATTCCAATACTCTGTACTAAACTGTTTATAATCAACTGACTGCCGTCTTCAAACTCGCGATATTTATATCAAGCCAACTCTGTAACCAGAATATTCTAGACGGTCCCGAAAATTCCATCTTAGACTCAACGGCACTCTCCGTCCATTCTAGCCGTTTCTGGTGCGTCAGCGGCATTCCTGAACTTTTCGTCGCCTCGACCACGAGTCGGTTGCCATCTGAAGGTCGCGCTTGCTTTAGTCCCAGGTTCGGATTAGGAATTTCATGACTTATGTTGCTTTAATACTCTTAATTAAATTGACTTCATATAGTTTTATTTGAATTAACAATTTTTAATTATAGACGAAATAAAAATAGAAATGCTATTATTTATCGATTCTACACAAGAATAAAAATATGAACGGTGATTGGCGGATTTCATTTTTTTGTAGTGTTTTCACTACCTGGAATGGATGTGAAATATATTCGTTCAGTTGAAGGCAATAGCATACTTTTTTGTTTTGTAATCTGTGCGTAGATAAGCTAATATTCGTGTGGGTGTAGAAAAATATATTTAGATTGCCTTCCCTATTTATGAATATTATTTTTTATGCTTTTAGTGTTTAATTCCACTATGGTATTTATCCGCTGATATGCAATTATTTTTGCTTGCACCTTTAGTTCTGATTCCAATTTCTTTGATTTTAACCAAGCCCAAAGGATTTAAGTTGGCCATGATGATGCTGGGAATGCTCAATATAATTTTCGTAATATTAAATATTGGAATTAGAGAAAATTTTCCCGAAACAACCAAAAAGTAAGTTTTCCTTTTTTAAATAACTACTAGAATAGGTACCTGATGGTTACCCGCCCTAAAAAATGCATAATTTATTTAAAGGCAACTAAAATAACCTGCAATTGTTTTGTCAATTAAATAAGCCTAATATTTTAAAAAATATTGCTCTGTGTACAAAAATAAGAAAGTAACCCGGCTGTCGACTACTGTAGTTTCCAGCTGTATCTTAGATAGAAATTTTAAATGAAAAAGTTATCAAAAGCTAACGACCTAAATTACTTTCAAGTTAAATGAGTGGGTAGTCAAAATAAAGTAAAATTTTGTACAGATTAAGTTTTAAATATTTTTCACATCATTTTTATGACCGTGAATATTACACCCCCTAATAGTAGCTAAGTCAGGAACTTGAAAATAATTTGCAACGATATATAGAGACTACTTTTGTTAAAAAAATCTCAGATACTTAAAAATGGCATGCGTCCTTTCTAATTTGGACACTGGTACACTACTATACAAAAGGATGTGATGAAAATGCATTATATTTGTTTTAGTGACTTTGATACACATGGTAGACTTACAGATTTTTTTATAGGAATGATGATGGGCATATTTATGAGATTTAAGAAAGACCAGCCATTTTTTGGTAACATGAATAATAAATCAGTAAGTAAATTTTGGTATAAAATAAATAAATAAATAGGTATAATAAGTATGTCCCATAGCCATATTATTTTTAATAATATACCAAATTTGTACACTCTTTATAAAGCTTTTGTTCTATGTAAAATCATAGATGGATGGCATTAAAGAAGTATCAGTATCAGCATTGAAAGAAACAGTATTTAATTTGTTCAGTTACATTCATTACAAACAAATCCAGTTTTAACTATATGGAGATGATGCTGCTATGCTTATGGTAACACCAACACTTCCCCATACTTTTAACGCAAATCTCCTAAGAGTCAGAGTCACCTGGGGGTAAGATATAACACCTTATTGGTACTGTGATATCCAACTTAATCTTAGGTAATAGAATGGGAAAACTGGTTTTCCGATATCCTATAGTACAGATGTCAACGACAACACCAACAACATTTCCATCATCTTCCGCTCCTATTTTTAAATATTCAGAAAACAACACTGGCTAGATCGACCTATTCTAACAAACGCTTAGATCTTTTTGGCGATCAAAATCTTTTTCTAATTTAAAAATCCAAATATAGACTAGTCAATAGCACTTACAATGTATAAAACCGAATATGTTGTTACTTGATAAATAACTGATGAATTTGATTAAATCGTCAATAATGTCTGATGATTTATTGGTCAAAGGTTCAACATTTTTAAAAATGCATCTGGGCATTAGATTAGATTAAATTAGATTTAAAAGGAGTTGGACGTTATTAGCCCTTGTCCAACGCGACCTTATCAGATCTATTGTGGGACTTTTAGAGTATGTCGTCTAGTTTGGTCGTTTTTATTAGACTTAGTAGCTTTGACAGTGGCATCCGCACGTAGTTGCATGTTGGCTTTTCTTTACTTAATGTTAGAAACCTCATTCTAGCCAGAACTTCACACTAGCTTAAAACGTGGGTGTTTCCTCTTCTTTGTTATAGAACCTGCACAAAGTTTCTTCTTCTGCTGGATTGAGGACACTCAAGTGCCTTCTTAGGCGACAGTGTCCAGTAAGAAGACCTACTGTTATTCTAACGATTTGACGATTTGATCCAGTAGGTCTTTCGTGAACTTGAACGATGGTTCCTTAATGAACTGGTTGGCCTGTCTCAATTTTGGATACTTGTTCAACATTTTTTGATGGATGCCTTGCAGAATGCTTTAACAACTTCGCAGAAGGGTTCGGGGCCTGTCATGGCCTTAACTGAGCCTTCTTGGGCTATTTCGTCGACCTTTTCGTTGCTGTTTTCCCTCGTGGTTTGCCTAGAGTCACCTTATTTTGACAACTTAGCTCTGCCCGGTCTTTTAGGCAGTCTTTCACCAGTGGTGATTTGATTTCTGGTCAGATAATTGCCTTTAAAGCTGTTAGGCTATCAAAGTAGATGGCAATATTTTTGCTGGATACTTTCTGATTTAATATTTCTCTTGTACAGTGTTGTATGGCTATTAGTTCAGTCTGGGACTTGGCGAAATTATTGTTTTCGATTTGGGTCCATAGATTCCAGCACCGGCTCCTTTCTTGGTTTTTGAACCGTCTGTGTAACAGACAAGTTGAGCCTATACGGAAGGTCCCTGTTTCCAAGATTCTCGGGCTGGTATTTGAATTTGAAAGTTTCTTTCAAATTTGTATGTGGTTATGGATACACGAAAAAAACAGTACCAAATAAATTATTTACTATTTTAACAAACGCTAAGAGTTTTTTGGCGATTTAAAAATCAGAAATAGGCTAGTCAATATCACTTACAATGTATAAAACCCAATATGTTGCAACTTGATAAATAACTGATAGCTGCACACCATGAATTTGATAAAATCGTCAATAATGTCTGGTGATTCATTGGTCACTGTTAATTAATTCTTTAAAATTTGAACAGGAAATGCCACGTTTTGGGTTTTATTGTTTATTGTTTTGTTGGTGATATAATCTACTGAATACAACTCTTAAATCCCAATTGCATATAATCGCATTAGCGGGTGTGCTCAATATATTATTAAATAATAAATTATTAACATATTTGAACATATGTCTCAACTAAAAGAGCTGCCGAGTGACAAACTAACATTGCTTAAACTTAGTCTCTACTGATTATTTGTAAAAAAACATTCATCTTTTTACAAATCTACTGATTACAAATCTCGATTGATTATAATCGCACCAGTGGATGTGTTAAATATATTATTAAATATTGAATATTTAGTAACATATTTCTCATTTTCACAAATTTGGACTACTAGATTATAATATTTAGTAGGTCAAGTTTTAATTGTTTATTTTCTACAATATATTTTCAGGTCATCAATATTCTTATCTGGATAGCTGTGTTGATTTCAATGTTTTGTTTATTTCTATTTTATCAAGATGCTGTAGTAAAATTTAATCGGACTCACAGAACTCTGTTTTATGCTTTTGGAAGGACAATTTGGGCAGTTGGACTTTCCTGGATGGTGTACTCTTGCTACCATGGCTATGGAGGTAAATCTAATTTTATAATTACATTTCTCGTTTCATAGAGGTTCTACTATTCAGTAAAAACTAGTTGTCTTTCATCTTCTAAAGGGTCAAAATTTGAGTAGGTAAATTGTCTCCCAATGATAGGTAAGTTGTCACCGATGACTATCAGTTACCTAATCTTTTAATCCCGGTCATTTAATTACATGTAATGTCAACTTCTGGTCCGATTGCAATATTTTTCATCAGTATTAATATTTTTCGGCTATAACAAGTTAAATATTAAAATGAGTTTGCGAGTGGTCTCAAGTGTAAAGGGAAAAGTGCTTTTGGTAATAAACTAAGTTTTCTTTTCCTAAAACATTCGCTGGAGGGGTTAAATGGTTGTTATGTACATGTATTGAGGTCAATGGAGGAAAATTTGAACATTTGATTTAAAAGCGCAGTTTTGATTTTTTTGATTGTAAGCATGATAAAACAATTAATTTTTTTTAAGAATGTATTTTTTTTTTTCATAAACCATTGTAAAGAGGCTTCCAATACCTTACAAATGAAGTATCACTCAACCCCTCTTCCCTATTCACTATTGAGGGGTTGAAGTGCCCCCTCATAGGGAGTTGCTCGTTCAAGCCTCAAATATACGTCAAAAGATGAAGGGTAACATGTGGTTAACTGAACCATCTGATGGAAATATTTAAATTGATATTCCGGTATGAAAGCTTAGACCAACATTTTGTCTAGGGCATATAATTTGATCATATAACAATGGAAAAAAAAATACAGCCACACAGTTTATTTAAAGAAGCCTATTTTTTTTTATTTTTTGCATTGCTGCAATATGGTTCAGTTAACCTCATGTGCAGGTTAACTGAAACATATGGGTAGGTTAATTGAACATATGGGTAGTTTAATTGAACATATGGGTAGTTTAATTGAACATATCTTTAAAATAATAATAAAATACTTGAAAAATATATAAGAGGTTTGAAAAAATAATGAAACTTACATAAGGAAAATGTATTAGCTAAAACATCAGAAAATTTTAAAAAACTGTGAAATTTAAATCACTGAAATCAATGGAAAATGACGTCATGTTTGCAAAGCGAGCGCTGCTACTTTTTATTGGAGGTTGTAATTTCAAAACAACATCTTCTTTGGATACGAAACCCAGTTCATTTTCATCTATAAATTTGTTGGTTGAGTTATAACGTTTCAGAAAAGTTACGTCGTAACCATTGAGCATTTGCTTACGAACTTTAGCAACATAATGTCGAAAGTTTATAGCAGTTTTTCCAAAAACTATAATATAGTCTCCCTCTAAAACATCACTGGATATCTCATTGTAATCATCAAAATCCTCTGGTGAATCTGAACTTTCGTGATAACTTATATTTTCTTCGCTGGCAGAGGAGCTAGATTCCAAAATACGTTTCGTTACTGCTTGCTTTTGGTTTAATTTACTTTTTGTTGTTTATTTCTCTTATCTTCACGATTTTTAGCCTCTTCTTCTAGACTTTCTTTGATGGGAGTGTTGGTTAGAATCAAGGATTTTCCTATCTTACGCCTCGTTGCCATTTTTCTTGGAGCAGCTTTTGGAAAGGGACGAATTTGTTGAGGTGTTATTAGTTTAGAAGTTCCAGGGCACTGTTCGTTTTGGTTTAAGTTTAATTTCTCGTTTGAAGGATCAGGTGTTGGTTCTATTGTCATTGGTGACGGTTTGGCAGGTATTTCTTCCGTTTGGGGTTGGGATAATTGACATTGTTCGGGGTTTGGTCTGTCTGTCACATACGATGATAAAAAAGCCTCTTCAGGAAAAATGTCGGCATTAAATGGTTCTATGCCGGTGGCCCTGAATCCACTGCAAATATTTTTCGGAGTAAAAGACTGTAGGAAAGCTTCTCCTACGAGACCACCGACTTCATATATTGTAATCGTCTTTCCAGGATGATTTACCATCCACCTGTCACAAGCATTATTATAAAACTTTTTAAATGGACCGAAAACTGCAACGTCAAGAGGTTGAAGCTTGTGGCTGCAGTGTGGGGGCAAAGTTAGGAGAGTTATGCCATTTTATTTTGCGAAATTGAGTGCAGCAATACTCAAATGACTTTCGTGGTTATCAAGTAGGATCAACTTCGGGTGTTCTTTGGACGGTCTTTCATGCTGAGCAAAGTGCTGTAAAACAGGTAGAAATAAACTGCTGTTCATCCATCCAGATGGAGTAGCGGCGCCTTTTGTCCCAGGTGGAGTTCCGTGTAACATGTTATCCTTAAAATGGACACGAGGGAATATAAAGAACGGCGGTACGTAACGGCCTGTAGCGCCAATAATACCCACAACTGTAACCAATGTCCCTCGTTCAGCAGAAGTTATTTAGCCCACGCCTTTTCGGCCTGTTGTTGCTAGTATTTTGGGCGACTTGTGAACAGTAGTTGCTCCGGTTTCATCCAAGTTATAGATGTCTTCGCTTTCGAAGTTAAATTTCGTTTTTACCTCTAAAAGGTTTTTGAAAAAAGCTTCAACATTTGTTTTGTTGAAGCTTGTTGCTCTACTCAGGCTGATCTGTTCTGGGGTTCTTAATGATAGTTTGTGACTCTTCATAAAGCTAACCATCCATTCTCTTCCTGCCATACTTTCTCTGATCCAACTGTCTTTAACACTTTTGTTGTTAGCCACCGCGTATTCGTAGGCTAGAGTGCGAGTTTGTTTGCTTGATAAACCGTAGTGAATATTGCAAGCATGTTGAATATATTTCTTTAAAACAAGTTCTTCCTCTTGCAAAAAAACCATTAGATGCTCATTGTTTGGTCGAAAGTTAATGGAATTTACGTCTTTATCTCGAGCTTTATCGACGTATCTTTTCAAGGTAATTCTGGGTATATTTAGGGTCATGGCAACACTTCTCACCGAACTACCTTTTTCCAGAACTTCTTGGACTGCTTGCTTTACTAGTTCGGCAGAGTATGACCTGTTGTTGGTCGTGCGTGCCCTGATGCGTGGCATAATTCTGAAACAATTGGTTCTGAAAAGAAAAACAAACAAAAAATTACGAAAATCGCTAATTTACAAATTGCAGGTTAACTGGACACCTGTTCATTTAACCTGTTGTGACTTGTGTCCAGATAACCTGTTGTATATGTAAAAAATATAAACAAATAATTTCGAAGCAGCATAAGGTTTAGCAATAGTTTTAATAATGGTAATCAATAGTAAAGTACTCACGCTTAAGTTCTATCCACTAAGATTTTGGGTGTATCACTGATTTCGGCATGTGGCACAAAATATCTGGGAGGTCGAAAATTTACATAGCCGCTACTAAAATTATTTTAGGTTATGATCGCTTTATTCGTAATATTTTAGAATTTATTAATAAACTTATAGTGACATATGTTAGCAAGTCACTGAACTTCCAAAAGTAGAGGCCATTACCAACAATGACATGACAGATGTACGCAAGTGTTCAGTTAACCTACCTGTTCAGTTAACCTCATGTTACCCTACCCCAAAGAAAATCATCCGACGTGTTTCGGGAAATTTTTCCAATTACTATGGGATAAGAAATATACGGGGTTGCGTCTGAGATAGAACACCCTGTATAGAGAATACGTGTGTTATAGTTTGAAAAGAATTTACCTATAGTAAAGAGTAATTAAAAAGTTACCAACAGGAGACAACTCGGTTACGGGGCCCTACTTTTGAAAGGTTTTAAGGATCTAAGGAAATTTAATTAAAGAAATTAATTTTATAATAAATACAATTTATATATTTTTTAGGGTTTATTAACTGGTTTCTTTGTAGACCTATTTTTCAAGTACTTGGAAAGTTAAGTTATTGTATGTATCTAATTCATTATTTAGTACTGGGTCACTACTCTTTTAGTAATCGTATGCAATGGTACATGAGTCATTACGTTGAGGTAAGATTTTTTTTTTAATTATACACTCCATTCATAAGTTTTTCTTATTTTTAGTTTAACTTATTTTGTGGATACTACATTGAAACACTACTACTCTCTTTTATTTGGTCGTTATTTATTGAATCTCCAATTTTGACCATAGAAAGATATTTTTTTAGTAGAGTAAAACAGGAAGGTAAGAATATATTTTACATTAAAAAATACGCACATGTTCTTCGTATTCGTAATTCTATCAAAAAAATTAGTGTAGCTACCAACGCTGTTTTGAATTTTTTTAAAAAGCAATGTAGTTCGAGTGATACCCATATCACATAATAGCTTACTTCTTTAAATATGGGTTTTAAGGTGATTACAGCACCCCCTTATAATTTTCGGACAAGGATATCTCAAAAAGTCATTTTTTAAAAAATTAAAATTTTGGAAAAATATATAAGGCAATATTATCTAGAACATGCATATATTTTAAAGCTTTAATTCCTTTCGGTTTCCGAGAAAAAAAATCAAAGGGCTTTAAATTTTTGAAATATCATAATAAAAATAAATGCATTCCTCAACAGCACTATTCTTAATAGAATCCCGAAATTTGAGCTCTTAATGTCTTGTTATTGATTTTTTAAAATTCGCCAAAATTAGTGGCTAAAACGCCTCGTTAAGTGCTATCTTCTGGTGTAAACTGGTGTAAACGGGTGTAAATCATTTCAGGAAATGAATGATGAGTGTACGATATGATAGTTACAGTCGCGTTACAACAGAAGACATCACAATACATAATATTACACAGACACAAACTAGAATAAAGATATATAATGCCTGGCATTTTAAATGATACTCTTTGCAGTGTAACAGACCCCCTTAACCCCCATTTTTAAGCAGATTGTTTTCACAATCAATAGGCCTCATCTCCTTATAGACATTGATTTTTACTAAAAATGTCATGTTGATATCGCTTTTCGCTTTCGATTTTTTTTTTATTTCAACCCCCCTTAAAACCCCCATATTTAATCAGATTTTTTTTTATAATGAAAGGGCTTCTTATCCTTTTAGAAATTGATGTTTGCTAAATATTTCAAGTTTTTCAGTTAGGATTTTTTTTTATATTTTAACCCCCCTTAACTCCCCAATATATTCATATTTATTTCAGTATCAATAGGCTTTATCTTCTTATAAAGCTTCATTTTTACTGAAAATTTTATATTGATATTGCTTTTCGTTTTTAATTTAGGATTTTTTTTTTAATTTCAACCCATCTTAACCCCCTATTTTTAATATAATTTTTAATCAGATTTGTTAAAAATCAATAGTCTTTATCCCCTTATAGAGCTTGATTTTTAAGTTCATATCATTTCTCGTTTTTGACTTATCGTGCAGACAAAAAACGTGACATCGGACAGACATACGAAGTAAACCTATAATACTCTTTACATAATACTGTATGAAAAGTAGAAAAAAAAAACGCATAAGGTAAAATAAACAATTTAAAAAGTTCAACAATGCTATTCAACTTTGTAACCTATTTTTTTCTTTTGACAAAGAGTTTAGGTTATATACAGCACAGCAGCTCTACCGTCGGTGGCATAAAGGTGTGTGTAAGGATTTGTTGTCTTGAAATTTAATTATTTTAAATTTAGATACACTTAAATAAAATACAAAAAAGATTATTTAAACCATAGATGGACGCCACTGAATTTTTTATAGAATAAAAATTTGGTATTATTTGATAAAGAAGTTTTTAAAATCTAAAGGTAAATTCAGAAACCATAGTAAATAAAATTTAAATAAACCATAAATACATGAATCTACAAATAGACACTTTTAGAGATGATCATGATATTCTGTGAAATAAAAGTCATACATAATTTAAATTGAATTTAATAGAAAAATAAATAAAAGTGATATATTAACAATATTTTCTCAATTTGTTCGATGAGCATTAAAATATACAGACGTTCTTTGCTCAAAAGAGAAATAATGATATATTAACAATATTTACCCGATTCATTTGATGAATCAAACTCTAAAAGTAATAAAATTGGAAGTATTTTCTCAATCCACTTATCAACATTTAAATTTATAAACGGTAGAACAATATGATTGAAAATACTCAATTCATTTTTAAACAGTTAATTAAGTCAATAGAAATGGTGTAATTGAGAATATCCTCTCAATTCATAGTTGAAGTATATGAATAATAAAATAATAAGGTTTATTTATACCTATGCGAGACGTCTTATTAAAATTAAGGTGTATTGTTTTGAGTACTCAAAATAATATTTACAAACTGGTTGTAAATAAAAGAAATAAAAAGTATTCTTAAAACTAAATCATACAGAAAATAAAGAAACACCCGTTTCAAAATATTAGTAAAATGTCTAAATAGACATTGCGAACATATTGTTAAAATTAAAGAAAAAATAATAAATACCAAAATATAATCCTAGGTCTGACAGCGGCACTAGAAAGAGCCCTCTGTTAGGCTACACACTGCACACCGAAGCTCATCATGTTACAGGACTGCTTAGGGCACGGGACCATCGTATGAACGTTTGAAATAAAAATAAATAAAAATATGAGTGTTTTGCCAGACAAAGAAAATGCAGGAGCAGCAAAGGAAATGACTTACCTCTTTTGAGGGTTTTCTTTGCTACCAGGATCCAGCAACACGTGGAAGAAAGTATCTCTCGGCGTCTCCCTTGCCTCAGATTTTGGTCAAACACCAGGTTCATCCAAAATAAAAGTAACATTAACATTGGCACGGCCCAGACAACACACCAAATCCCAGAGATATCCACAGAATATCTTTTGTGGATATCCAATATATCCACAGGATATCAGAAATATTCCGTGGATCTAATATGGAAATCCAAATGTCCGTCTATATCCAGAATATAGAAGATATCCTATGGATATTCAGCAAAATATCTAATTAGTAACTTCCAGACAATACAAGAAATCCCAGAGATATCCACAGAATATATTTTGTGGATATCCAACCAAATGTCCGTCAGAATTCAGATATTCAGCAAAATATTTTATAGGTATCTTTAGTAGACATTCATAAGTAACCAAATGATTATTGAATAACGTCGAAAGAAAATGAAAATAGAGCTAAAAACTATTTCCAACAATCTGCCTTTGAATTTGCCCACTAAGGAAAAAGTCATCCTTATTAGGACACAAAAAAAAATTAAACAATGACCTTGACTCACTTTGACTATTTCCATAAAGGAAGTGCTACATATAGTTTAACAAAACGAGTTAAAAAAGTCAGAAAAGTCATGTAATACCTACAATAGTATTTTTTTAAAATATATTTTTAGGTTAAACCGCGAGATGTCTGATTGAATAAATTAATTAAAGCACATGTAAGACAATTATTAACTAAACAACACAAAATAGTTTTTACAAGCAAAAACAGTTAAAAAAATTTTAAAGGATTTAGATTAGCCAATTAAGGGAACATTTAATATGAAAGATGTTCCCTTAATTGGCTTATTTAAATTCTCCCACGTGGTTGTCATACGCCAAAATTTGACTTTTCTCTTTTTTGAGATTCGTACTTGTCAACTCATTTTCCGTTTTCCTGTAACAGTAATTTTTTTTTTGATTATCTGCTTCAATTTTCACTTTTACATATGAATTTTCATATTTTCTTATTTAGTGTTCTATTTTTCTTATTAGTATTTTTTACTTTCTCATTCCAATTTAATATTTTTACTATCAATAAATTGTGCCACCGCTACCTATACTCACTTTCAGTAAATAACAACTTTTTTAGTACACTATTTATCCGCTAAATTTAAAATTTACAGTTTACTGCACTGATTCGTTAAAAATCTAGATAGATGTCATGGGAGTCTGATAATTTTTACTTTTTACTCTTACTTTTTATTTGTAATTAACGTCTATCCTTTAAAATTTTTTTAACTGTTTTTGCTTGTAAAAACTGTTTTGTGTTGTTTAGTTAATAATTGTCTTACATGTGTTTTAATTAATTTATTCAATCAGACATCTCGCGGTTTAACCTAAAAATATATTTTTAAAAAATACTATTGTAGGTATTACATGACTTTTCTGACTTTTTTAACTCGTTTTGATAAACTATATGTAGCACTTCCTTTATGGAAATAGTCAAGGTGAGTCAAGGCCATTGTTTAATTTTCTTTTGTGTGTTTTTTCTGTTACTTTGTATATGTTAATGTCCGTTCATACTTTTATAATTGTTTTTATTACTACTGACTCCTTGACATTCCATTTAGGTGTGCCTGATGATGAAGCAATAGCTTCGAAACCGGTCGCCAATTAAATTGACGTGTGAGAAATAAAGGACCTTTTCTTAATCCCTTATACTTAATCCCTACTACTTACATATGGCTACCCTCACTCCAAAGACTAGAAAGACAAATATTTTCATTCATAGACAAAAAAAAATAAAAAGAGCCTACAGTATCCCTCTGTGGATGTGATAGACGTTTGTCTGCAATGTGAAGAAATAATAAAAAAGAGAACTGTTAGTTCAAATTATCATCTTATTTCTATAGACTCTATTGTATCTTCAGTGTTAAAGTCATTTATAAATAAAAATATATTTGCAAATTTGATAGCCCACAGTTTTGATCAGGATCCATTGAATAACCATAGTGTTAATAAAAGCTTTAGCTACCTAATACACAAACATTAGGATGTGTTACCTTAAAAGTAAAATAAAAAAATGTGATAGCATAAGACATCACAATAATAAAATTGTATTGTTTAAGGGTCAAGAAACATAATTTTTATATTGAATATTGATTTTGCAGTAATATATTTTCTATTAATACCTTAATAACGGTTTGATTATTTTATGTTAAACCGTAACTGATAAACCATGACATATCAAATGAAATTTACGTAATTTTTAATGAGTTTTTTTCACTATGTAACATAAAATCTCCTTTTACTTGCACTTTAATAATTTCTTAAAACTTTTATTAAAACTGTTAATAATTATCCGTTTTATGACAATTAATTTATAACTTATAATTCCTTAAAAAAGCAAATTAGGGTTTGAGATGCATTACCAATAGTCCGGCCCTGGCGGAACGGCCATATTGGAGTGACTGTCACCACGACTAGTGATACCACAAAGCACATAGAGGTTCCACGTGAAATACCAAGGTCAAAACCGACAACTGACATTTTTTATGCTATTTGCTCCAAACTCTAGATGGGGCTACTGGTGAAATTATGATTTCTTACTCCATTTTTAAGCCTTATGGGAGAAAAACTTAACCAAAGACTCCAAAGATGTGACGTGTATTTATTTATGTTCTTGGTTAGTTTCATTTTTCCGTCTGATTTTAGTGATTTTTTGTTGGCTTTGGCTTTTGGTTTCTGTTTATAGTTTCGTCTTAGTTATTTGCAAAATTGTGATGTTTCGCTTTTTTATTTCCTACTGTGTTTTGCAATAATTTTGGTGCTACGTTGAAAACTTCGAGAAAAACTTCTTTGATTCACCATATATTCACCATGCATCTGCATCATAAAAAGACAAACGGGGACAACAACTAATTGATAATCAATTTATCACTGGACTAGATTCCGAAATCTGTATCACCATCTGTATTTGGAAGGAAAATACCTATTTATCATTGAATGAATAGTTAAAAGGATTCACCTTTTAATACAATACCTATATTACATTTGTCCTCAGTTAAAAAGACATTTATAAAATATATAACTTTAGTGTTAATAAAATGTAATATCCTAGTCTCTACTTCACATTTACATTATTGATAGGTATTTTAAAGATTTGAGATTATATATATATTTGCTCCAAGTAAGTATTCGTTAAATATGTATTATTATTTGTATTTATTTTTATCTAATAATATTTATTTAATTTATTAATAAACATATTTTAAGAATGTTCTATTTTATTATTTATTGATATATCTTATATTTATTTAATAAAAATATGCAGAACCAACTCTCCACATTAGACCCCTTATAACAAATTAATTCTTCAAATTTGGTATAATCGACCTAAATTATTTTGTAAAATAAAAGTTTCGAACTTACTAGTTCCATACTTTATTTTATAAAATAATTTATGTGGAAATCATTTAAAATTTAATTTAAAACTACTACCTACTCCTAAAAATTACAATTTGAATTTACCGCCATCTGTCAATTGTCATTTTAGTTCCAGCTCCAAACACAAGGTGGCGCTAATTTGGTTTAAAAGTTTAACATTGGCGTGGGGTCTCTAGAAGATACATGCTTTGTGAGTGATACCGTTTTGAATGTTTGAAAAAGATGCACATAGCGTCTCCCTACCTTCTACCTCCATGTCATGGAGGAAGGATAATTAAGAGTTGCCGTTTCTTTGTATAAATATGGCAACATGTTTGCCTTCAGCGACATGTGGGATAGTTTTGTGCAACTAATACTCAGTCGGTAATATAAAAAGCTGTAATGCTATTTTAATTTGAAAATTGGTGGGCTTTTTAATTTACTTCGACAAAATATAAGAATTTTACATTTTTAATAGCATTTTTTTAACACGCATCTCAGGTGTGTTAAAAAATGCTAATAAAAATGTAAAATTTTATGTTAAATAATTTTAGAGGTAAAAATAAATAGGTAATACAAAATTGTATTATAACTAAATATTATTTGTTGAATCTTTATTGGTTACAACAATAAACATAATATATATTTTCTGAATAAACAACTATCTTAAATAACACAAAACGAACTAAATTTTTCTTTAATCGTGCGAAATAAAACAAGAGTTCCATCCATAAATCCTGAAAAGAAAAAAAAAACAATTGTTGAAAGCGAAAAACTTCCTAAAGCACATGATTTTGATTGTATGTGACTAATTACTTTTGCATTTGTAGCGATTTAACTAATTTTTAATTTACTACTTCTAATTTCTATAACGTCTAATTAAGATTTTCTTGCTTTATGTAATGAAAATACTTTAGATTTATAAAGATTAAAAAGTTTGGTTATAATACATACAATTAAATTGGCATATCTAGGATAATTATCAAAATGAATATCAGAATTAAAACTTTGTTAAGGATTTCAATATTTGGGGATAATACAATTACGAATACGAATAATAATCCTTTTTTCAGTTGACAATAAAATGAAAATGTTTCTTCTAAAACAGTGTAAATGGGCCAGAAAAATTTACTATTACAATCAAATATATGCATTTATAGGACATAGACATGCAAAAGTATCAAAATAAGTTTACTTACAGTAAATTATTACTAAATTTATGCCTAAAACTGTATTAAATAAAAGTAAAACTCAGAATTGTTTACATCGACAGCCATATTGTATTTTGTATCATTCGGCATTCGGGTTTCGTTTATCGAGTCGACTCGAGCTTTAACGAGATTTGGGTTTTGTTATCGAAAGCCAGGTTTACATTGTACAAATAATTGAATAAATTCATATTTTTTCAATTTTACGATTGATAAATTAAAAAAATGTGAAACTATTACTTTTGGCAAGTTAATAACACATTTTTATTGAGATATTTTGTAATTATTCTGTTTTCTTTATATTTTATATATAATTGTGTTATTGTAAAACGGACGTACGCCAGTTTCGATGCGCAGTAACTTGTTGACAAAATGCGCATATGCAATAAACCCCCGTGCTCCATGTGTGATACAGAGACGCGATCAGCCAGAGGACAATGATGTACAAAAAATATAGATTAACACGTATGAAAATAAAAATATTAAAATTAAATTTATATTTTTATGTTATTTATGTAATATTAAAATAATGTGTTTTTATGAAATTTAACTGGGTGTTCACTGCACAAATGAACCAATGGAGAAACCGCCCCTGATTCTAGATATTGCCTTATTTATTTTGCCAAAATTTAAATTTTTTTAAAAAATTACTTTTTCAGAAATTCTCCGAAAATTATAAGAGAGTGCTGTCAGAAAAGGTGAAAATGTCAGAAAAATCACCTCGTGTGGTATTTGGAAAGATTATTTATCAATATATGCCCATTACCTTTAAGTACAATTTAACGTTAATTTTATTTGTTTACAAAATTAATATCAATATTACAATAAAAGTTGAATAACCGAAATGATTTTCGTCCATTTTTCATCACCTTTTTCACAAACTTCATAAACGTTTCGCATTAATCATTGACATGTTACTCTGATAATGAATTGAATTTTTTAAATCCAACCTTTTTCACAAACGTTACATTAACATTTCGCATAAATCATTGCTATTCTGGTAATGATATTTTTTTAAATCCAATGGGATTGTGTGGAAACGCTGCACCATGCAGTGTTTGCAGCTGCAGTTTGTTTTGATTAGCGTGTGAGTGTTAAAAAAAAGAAGATTGTCTTTGGTTGATATATTAATTAATACATACTCTCGACTTCCGATTCGGACATCGTCGTGGCAACATTAAAATGGCGGTCTCCGAATCGGGAGTCCGAAGTCCAGTAATATTCACAAAATATCTAGTATAAAAGTGACCATCCGACTTTAAAAAGTATATTAAAGCATTTTTTTTTTAGCTACTGAACCAAAAATCAATGTTAAGAACTTCAAATCTACAGAAGCATAGGTACCTATATTTATTATTTTTGTAGTGATTTTATATTATTAAATAAATCTAAACTTTCTTGTATTTTAAATTTTTTATTATTTATTTTCTTTTAATGCCCTTATCAGTGCTTCTTGTACTTATTTATAGTAATTTTGAACGATTAATTTGAAATTGTTAAAAAAGGGCTGCAATTTTGATTATCATTACACAATAAGAACATTATGCTGCCACTGTTCTTAGTGTTTAGGATCCTATAAAAAACATTTACAATGACAAAATTGGGGGTCAACTCTTTATCTAACATTAAAACAAATTTTATGTTCTAGTAAGTTAAATTTAATGTATAATTATTGTTGTTTGTAAGTCAGAATCTATGACTGCAAAATTTTATATTATAGAAACTTGTAATAAAATTAACTACACTCCGTGATACTTATTGTGACTAGTTTACTATAAATATTATATTTAGACGTAAATACATTATTTTATAAGAACTTCAAAAAGGCATTGAATTGATTTCTCCTTGTGTTTTCTTTAGATTTACATCTGATTTGTATCCCGTTTTACTTTTTTTAAATTATTTTGATTCTTTTCACCAATTTTGTAAAAAATCACTTCATTTTACATTGACTTATATAGAAAATGTGAAGACTAGAGAGAAGGAGGCGAATCGACAATGGTCAAATTTCAAATTTTCGTCCTTCTTTTTATTAAGTTCGCGAAATTGACTGTAGTTGGCATGTCGAATAGTAGCGGTATCAATTTTCTATGTAAGTCAATGTAAAATGAAGTAATTTTTTCAAAAATTGGTGAAAAGAATCAAAATAATGTAAAAAAGTACCTGAGTATAAGTAAATTGACTGACAGAAGCAAGATTTACGTCGTTTTAGATTGTAAAACAGGATACAAATTAAATGTAAAACTAAAGAAAACACAAGGTGAAATCAATTCAATGTCTTTTTAAAGCTTCTAATGTAAGTAACATAATGTATTTATGTCTAAATATAATATTTATTGTCAATTAGTCACAATATGTATTTTACAGAGTGAAGTTTATATAATATAAAATTTTACAGTCGTAGATCCTCACAAACAACAATAATTATACATTAAATTTATTTTTATAGAGTTTTAATGTTAGATAAAGAGTTGCTACTGTTATTTTTTTTGTTGAACCCCAATTGTGTCATTGTAAATGTTTTTAATAGGATACTAAAAGCTTAGAACAGTGGCAGCAATCGTTCGTAGTGCCGATTAAGTACTTTCTAGAGATGATGCTATATTTTTTAGAAGATATCAAATTTTTTGAAATTATTTTTACTGATGGTACTGTTAGCAAAGTAAAAAGGGGAAAGCTGAAATGAAAGGATGAGGTAATACCATGTACAATGTACATTCCCAAATCTCCCTTTATACATGGATTACAACAATAAAAAATCTGTTTACTGTATTTTATTTTGCTCTTAAAACTATGTATAGGTTCAATTCAAAAAAATTTTGCCACAAAATTGTACTTATCAAATTTCAGCATTTAACAAACCTTTTCGAATTTGGTCATACCTACCTAATTTGTATTTTATATAGATAAAATTATAGTATATTATGCAACGATGATGTAATGATGGTTATTAATACACGATAATTAACCGGGATACGAAACTCGCCTTGTATGGTTTATGCTCGTGTATTAATAACTATTACATGAGAGGTGCATACGCTATTTTTTCTACACCCGATAAATAATCAAGAACTATAAATATTATATTTATATTTGTATTGAACACAATAACAGTAATTGGGAGGTTTCAGTTTATTTGAATTATCGGCGGTTAATTTGTGGGTAAATTTTATGAACAAAATTTTTGCTTATAGGTTTCCGTTTAAATAAATTGGAATTGGGGGGTTTCCATTTATTTGAATTACAAATAGTTAATTTGTGGTAAAATTTTATGAGAAAATATTTGCTTATAGATTTTCCGTTTAAATAAATTGGAATAGGGGGTTTCAATTTATTTGAATTATGAATGGTTAATTTGTGGTTAAATTTTATGAGAAAATATTTGCTTATAGGTTTTCCGTTTAAATAAATTGGACAAACGTCAAATGCACAGCATGCTTGATTGAAAAATTATGGATTTCTATTGATTAAAAATCTGTATCGTTATGAAAAATCTGTATCATAATGTTTATCATTATGAAACGGTTTATGGGCATATAAGTGCGTTATTATAATACAGGTGTAGAAAAAATTATTTATCAATTAAAACATGCAAGACCTATTTAGAAGTAAATCCAATAGTATGTTCTGTGCTTTATTTCAGATCGTATTTCGAATATATCGATTCTGTGACGAAGTCACTAAATTTTATTTCTAATTAATTTAAAAAATGTATATTTCAATTAGTTCCCGCCTGAGGACATGTAGAAGATCCCCCGTATTTCTGTTTCCCAGCAATTACCGTTTTTCAACAATTGCTAGTACCCTCGTAGGTTAAAACATTTCTATATTTGCCGAAATCCGAATGGGCATTTTGTAGAGTCGATTTCGTATCAATTATCTACTTGTATTTGTCAAGGTACTAGTAGGACACTTTTTTTATTTTTAAATTGTAAACAGTCGGCTGTAGTGGTGGTACCTCCCCCCACTCCGGATTACCCGTCTTCAAGCTTGCCCAGGGAAAAAGCATAAATTCGATTACAACTGATAATTGTCCTCTTTGATTTCCGGCCACCGTGGGCTGTCCGCTCTTCTCTCTTCTGTTACCGACGTGTGACGAATCCAGATAGTGACCGTGTTATTGATAGCCTGCTGAACAACCCCGTTTATTTTTCTAAGGTAGGAAACCGAATATTGTTTTTTTTATTTACAATTAGTTTGGGACACCCGTACGATAAATGAAAGAATTTTGATTCATGCCGAGTATTTTTCATGTAAGTTTCTTTTTCTTTTATTTATTCATTCAAATATATTTGAAACATTCCATTTCCCGTCAACAACTAATTATTGAACGAAGCCCGACGTTTTCTATCATAATTAATTCACACACCGTTTTGATCGGCTTTGGCAAAAAATCTCAAAATAATCTTTTCTATAACCATCGCCTTCGTTGTCCAAACATCACCGTAAATTATTTCATTTTCGTTCGACGAAATTGCCAGCGTCGAGCGGTCGGAACTAATTTACAAGGGGGTTCCGAAAACTTACATTGTAGATGGGTTAACTGTAGTCATAGTAAACTTCATTTTTCTTTTATAGGGAGTGTCGTAACTACCCGTTTTCTTTTATTTATTTTTTTAACTTTTCAGTTGGTCAACCGTTTAGTTAAAAATTAATTAATCCGTTCTAATTAATTAACCGTTTTTTTATTATTTTGACCAGAATATTTAATTTAATTTTGTGTATTTGGGAAATATACTTTCTATATACCGTATTGTACATAATTTCCGAGTTAAATATTTTTCCCGTACAAGTAAAAGGTAATACAAACTTTAATTACATTTAATTTCTTACATCTTATTACCGTCATATTTATAATTAATTTATCTTTAAAATTAATTTTCCGTATACAGGGAGTTTCATAATTCCCGGACCGATTAGCCTCCTGTGCTATCAAACCGCAATTATTTCCCTATAGTTTTTTTTTAGTTTTCAATTGTAATAATTTATTTTTAATAAATTTTCCGTATACAGGGAACCATAAATATTTAACTAGTTTTCAATTGTAATGATTTATGTTTAATTAATTTTCCGTATAAAGGGAACCATAAATATTTAACTAGTTTTCAATTGTAGTAATAATTTGTTTTAATCAATTTTCCGTATATAGGGAACGATGAATATTTAACTAGTTTTCAATTGTAATAATTTATTTTTAATAAATTTTCCTTATATGGGGGACCATAATTATTTAACTAGCTTCAATTGTAATAATTTATTTTGTTTAACCTCCCTATAGTTTTTTAATTGTAATAATTTATTTTTAATGATTTTTCTGTATATAGGGAGCCGTAATTACTTTCCTGTAATCTCATTCAATTGTAATTGTTCATTTTATTTAATTTTCCGTTTACAGCCGTGCCAAAACCGTGTACTACCACCGATGTATTTTTTTACTGTAAATATATATTTTATTATCTATTCCTGCGTTTCTCTTATTGCTGGTTCTTAACCGTTCTCTTTCAGGGTACCGTAGAGAACGAGGTGTAAAGTGTTTTATTTTTATTTATTATAGTTTAGTGGCTACCTAGTTAGCAGTGACCGCCTGGAAATATTTTAACTCAATTGAGTTTACCTTGAGTACACTCTATATCAAAATGTGCTTTCAAGCTATCCCACTGTTCCAATATTCGTTTAAGTGCTGGTTTGATGGAAATCCATCCAATTGTATGTCTCTTTGATCAGGAATTCAATATTTCTGGGCAAAGTCTTTTCTGGAGCACAGGAAACTGCTGGTTGTAACGAGTGGCAAACGCAACGCACTAAAACCAAATGCGGAACATCCTCTTTCAGCTATGCATAAACATCGTCTGTAATTCCTATCTTTACTGAAACATTGTCAGTACCTATACCCTGCAAATTCTGTACATTTAATTTAAGTTTTGTAAGCAGCTGCTTTATAGCCTCAACAATGCACTCTGCAGTTCCATTTTCAATGTTTATGAGTGACAAGAACGTACTGACTATTTTTAAATGTTTGGTACTAAAATACCTAATAACAATTCCTAACATTTTTAAAACTGCAACGTCGGTTGATTCATCTATAATTAGACTATATGGGTTAGCTCCTACATCAAACAGTAGGTCTTTCATAAAATGGGGACCCACAACATTTTTTATTAAATTTGTACAATTAGTCCGATGAACAGAAACATTATTAATTTCACACAAGTGATCGATGGCATTTATAGACGTGTGAGCAGCTACAAATAGAAAAATATCACCTTCTTTCCTTTGCTGAGTGGTAACACCTTTATTATTGGGCTCAAAGTTTAATTTCTGCTGCCTTGATGAAAAGGGCTTCTTAGCTGCTTTGTGCTTTAAACTTTTATGATGTTTTTTAATATCACCAAGCTTGGCGTTGATAAAACATTTACAGTACTTGCAGTACGCTTTGGTGTAGTCTGTAGTGCATGGTTCTAGCCAACCTTTTATCTCTGGCAGCTTTTCCCACTCACCTCTATATTTTTGTGTGTAATTAGGCACTAAAAAAATACAAATTATTTTTAAACAAAGAGATCTTAAATATTAAAATGCAATTACTTTTGGTCTTTGGATGGGATTATTTATCAACACAGGCGGCAGTCAGCAGTTACTCAGATAACTGTGAACTTGAACTGAGGTAACAGATGCAAACAATACAAACATTGCAAATTGCAAACACAAAGTAATGGAAAAGTTGGGTTAGGTTAGGTGCTGGTTAGCGCTTGGCGGCGACGCCGATTGGTATTGGAACTCCTATAGCGATTTCTATTTGTAGAGAAGTGCGCACTGAGTGCATTCTCGTCTTCTTTTTTCTGCATATAAAAACAGAGTATAAATTTTAGTTTTTTCTGCACGTGCACTGGTTTTGCAATTTGCAAATGGAAATCGATATTAATCTCACTAGATATTCTCCAAATGAAATCAGAAATACACCAGCTTTGAGAACATCCTCAAACTCTTCTAAAAATTCTATTTGGCACACCGAAATTCTCGAGTTTTGGTGAAAAATACACCAAGTTGGGAACACTGCTAGCCGTTTCCTGCAACACAAGAATTTATGTGCAAACAATAAAAAATCGTCTTCGGGAAGGAGTGATTAGAGCCAGGGTGGCCGACTTGTGTCCACGCCTTACCAGGGAGCATCGTGTTGCACGGTTGGAGTTTGCCACAAATCATGTTCTGTTTTCTGATGAATCTAGATTCAGCCTGTTTTCATATGATCGACGAATTCCAGTCTACAGGCGTGATGGTAAACGATACTTTCAGTCTAACGTCAGAGAAACGGAACCTTTTGGTGGTGGCTCTGTTATGATGTGGGGAGGAATTTCTGTTGCGGCTCGTACAGAGTTAGGACAATTGGTCGATTTCGTACTTGTGATAAATTGTCCCAGACATGGTGTATTGGTTTTAAATCAGGACTTCGAGCTGGTCAATCCAATGTGGGAATAACAACTTTCTTAAGGTACTGACGAACAATTAAAACTGTGTGCGGGCGAGCGTTGTCTTGCATAAAAACAAAATTGTCACCAATGAATGGACCGTAAGGTACAACATAGGGTTCAAGAATATCCGTTACATATCTTGCAGCTGTTAAATTTCCTCTTACAACTAGTACTTAGTTTTTGTTGTTTTTTTGCGTAGTGTATTTAGCAAGAGCTTTGACGTGAAAAAGTAAAGTATGTCTGAACCTTAGACTAGGTAACCTAGTCTAAGGTCTAAAAGAAGAGGTTAGGCAACCAGAAATACTACCATAAAATATTATAGTTAGTCATTTTAGGCTACTAGAAATAATACATTACTATAGTCTTCGTTGCATAAGTCGCTTATTTTGAAATATCTACGGTACCACTATTGCCTAAGTACGACTTACACTTATAGCGTCTTCGAATCTAGAGCACGGCTTGCACTGAGTGCATACGAAAGGTGAGAGATATGTCAATACCAGTTACTTTTCAATCTGAAATGTAACCGGTATCGATATATCGCTCTTCTTTTATGTGCACTCCACGCAGGCAGGGCAGTGGAATCGAAGACGCTATTAGCCATTTGTGTAACCAACGGGACTATATTACTAAGCCTCGGCTGTCCGTCCGTCTGTGTATCAGCAAGCTGTATTTCATGATCCGTAATAGGTAGACCGTTGAATTTTCACAGAGTGTGTAATTCTGTTACCGCTATAACAACAAATAATAACACTAAAAATAAATTAAATATTACAGGGGGCTTCCCTACTAGAAACGAGTTTTTTTGGCTTTTTTGCTCGATCTTAATAAAGTATTTAATAAAAAATACCTACACAATATTAAATCTTGTATGATGGTGCGGAACCCTTCATGTCGAGTCCGACTCGCTCTTGGTAGGTTTTTTATTTTTGATTGTGTGAACAACTGAAAAGTAAAAATAGTAGTGTCCAAAATTAAGGTTAGGGGAGAGGCTGGTACAGTGGCCAGTCAGGTACAGTGGTCAATTTTAAATATTTGTTTTCATTTGATGTGTACAGGCATGCCACCTAATCGAAACCTTAATAATTTCAGTCACAACGGTCGTTTACTACGATTCACACGTGTATAATCGTTTCCACAAGTATTTTACAAATTAATTTGTTTAGAGGTGTGCTGCGTAGAAAAAATAGGTAAGTTTAAACATCTTTTATGCCCATAATAACATACATATTAAATGTTTTCCAAGTTTCGTGGTGTATTGTATAGAATGTAACACACGCATATGATGCAAATTACGATCTATTATTAAAGTAGAAGATTTTAGGTTATATTTTATTAAACAAGATGGTTTTGGTACAGTGGCCACAAACGCATATAGGAACAGTGGCCACTGCTCTTCTTTTCAAAAAACAGTGGCCACTGTTCCTAGTTAAAAAAAAAATAATGAGGATAAATATTTTTTATTTCATACAATATAAATTTCAAATCGTAATATGCCACGTCCAGCGCCAAAAAATCCCGGAATTGGCAAAACATCTGGAAGGTGGATTATCTCAAAAGGCTGCTGCTCTTAAATACGATATTCCACGGACTACGCTCAGAAGATATGTTAAAAAGTGTCAAGAAAATAAAAATAATATAAATTGGACCTCAGACGTTCTTGAAGAAGCTCCGAGATTGACTCCATATTATCGTGTAAACCAAATTTTTTCTACAGACGAAGAACAACAACTCAGTAGTTATCTGCAAACTATGACTAAGCTCCATCACGGTCTTAATCCAAAGGGTGCTAGAAAACTAGCTTACGATTTGGCGATTGCTAACAAGAAAAAAATACCCACCTCATGGGAAAAGAAGAAGAATGCTGGCAAGTTTTGATTCACTAGTTTTATGAAACGAAACGCAGAATTATCACTACGATCAGCAGAAGCTACTTCATTAGGCAGAGCGATGGGGTTTAATCGACCAGTCGTTGCAAAATTTTTTTGTAATCTTAAGACGATTTATGAAAAATATAAGTTTACGCCTTCTCAGTTTTATAATGTTGACGAAACAGCACTAACAACTGTGCAAGATACTGGGAAAGTAATAGCCAAAAAGTGACAAAACCAAGTAGGTCATATAGTTTCCAATGAAAGGGGCACTTTGGTAACCATGTGCAATGCCATAAACGCTATTGTTAATTCGATACCGCCGTTTTTAGTGTTTCCTAGAAAATTTTTCAAGGATTACATCATAAAAAATGCACCGCCAGGTACTCAGGGTTCCGCTACATCTTCTGGGTGGATGACAGCAGAGTTGTTTGAGCAGTGGATGATACATTTTAAGACACATACTAATCCTACAAAGGCTTCTCCTATTTTACTCATTATGGACAACCATGAGAGCCATGTTTCTTTAGCATCTATTAAACTAGCAAAGGAAAATAATATAATTTTGTTAACGTTACCGCCACATACTAGCCATCGCCTTCAACCGCTTGATAAAGCTGTATTCGGACCTCTGAAGAAATATTATTCGCATGAGTGTCAAAAACAATTGTTGAAAAATCCAGGAAAGTGGATAACCATATACGATATAGCAGAGATTTTGAAGGAAGCTTATCCACTTGCTTTCTATCCCAAAAATGTGGTATCAGCATTTCAAGCTACTGGGGTATTCCCATTCAACGATGACGTTTTTAACGACGACGATTTTATGGCCGCAACAGTAACAGATATGCCAAACGTTGATCGAGAAGAACAAGAACCAAACAATTTTAATGCCAGCGAAATACCAGAAATTGACATTCAGTCCCCTTCAACATCATGTTGTCGAGATAAAACACTAAAAACAAATCAGAAAGATCTATCTGAAGTTACACCTGAAAAAAAAATTGTTTGTTATGAAACAGTAGCAACTTCCAAGGAAACAACTGCAAATCGATTCATTTCTCCTGTGTTACTGCAACCATACCCTAAAGCAACCTCGATGCCAGTAAAAAAACAAAGAAAGAAGAAGACTACTGAAGTTCTGACTGATACACCAATTTATAAAAGAATAGAAGCGGAAACAGCAGAAAGAATAGCAAGAAGGAGTAGAGTAAAGAAAGCAAAGATAACAGTAAAAAGAAAAATTGATAGTCCAGTTAGGTCGACTAATACAAAGAAAAAGAAGTCGATATCCAGTGATAGCAGTAACAGTGATAGGGAATTGTCTGATGTTGCGGATTCCGATGATGTTGGTCTATTTTCAGAATCAGATGAAATGTCTGACCAGGACATAACCCCGCGAAGGGTGGAGGTCGATTCATTTGTTTTGGTGAGATTTAATACCAAAAAACCTCGAAATTTTATGTAGCACAAGTTACAGAAGTTTTTTCTTCGGATCACGAATATAGTGTAAATTTTCTACGACGACATGGAAGACATTTTTCATTCCTTTCAGTTAAAGATTCTGCCACCATAACAAATGAAGATATAGTCCTCATTTTGTCCCAACCAATAAGCTCTGCTGGAACACAACGAACAGTAAATTTGTTTACTTTTAAAAACGATTTATCATCTTATAATGTTTGTTAAAGTGAAATATGTTTTATTTCTTTTTGTAACTTTTTTGATAATAAAATATAAGAATTGCAGATAATGACCACTGTACCTTATCTTTGTGGCCACTGTACCAGTTGGTTAGGTACAGTGGCCACACTTTTGGCAAAACAAAAAATAGTAACTTTTGCATTAGCTATGTGGTTTTTGGTGTTATAATTTACATTAATAAGTTAAAAATCTATTTAACATTATGTGGGCGGAGACTCAGTCAAATATATTGATATTTATTAATGTTATCATGAATTTACTCTAAACGTGGCCACTGTACCAGCCTCTCCCCTACTCATCCCTCCATTTAAACCATCGTTTATGATTGTTGTGAAAGAAAATAAAACACAGTACTTTTTGAATAATTATTTATTTTGAATTGTGAAGGATTGTTGCTGATGTGACACACAGTCATTTATTAGAAGGGCGTGACATTCATAAAACAAAAATAGGAAAGGCAGTATAAAATAATTATATAAATTCTACATAGCACCGGTTTTTGTAATGCTAAAAAAAATAGATGTATAGGTACGGGTAAGAACACAAAAGTTACAAATAATAGCAGTGATAATGTATATGAAAATACAAAATATTCCAAAATTTACCACGAAAAATGAATGATTACCTACCTATTAATTATTAAAAC